GATCTGTCCGTACCCTGTTAGATGACAAATACGTCAGTTTGCATCAAGGGATCCTATATATTTCCCTTATTTAGGATTGTTTTTCTTTTCGAGTATAGAATATAAGGACCAATTTACGTCTCCGCCAGTTCTCACGAATTTTATTCATTATTCAACTGTTATGAATATTTCACTTTATTTTAGGATGAAGCACAACTGACAAAACCGAAGCAACTGAAAAAAAACGTGAAAATTAACGATAACGTTTTTTGTTGAGAATTACATTTGCTTCAGTTTGACTCACGTTTGATTTCAGATTCTTCTTCAACAATCAGAATACGAAACGTAAAATGCAAACAGTAAAAAGTTTGATTGTGAATGCCACTTTACACTGTTTTAACACTAACCACGACTTCTCAACGCCTCGACAAGTGTTTCACTATGCTAGGCTGCGCAAACATAAGTAGGTCGAACCAAATAGTTGAATCATCAAAACTAGATTCATAGAACATATCACATTGAAAAGGAATATTGTCAAATATACTATGAATATGAAAAAAAAAAATCATACATATAGAACAGACATTGAGAATTCGCATTTTCTATGTAATGAAAATATAACCTGTTTGTGAGAATTGTCGAAAAATATGCATACAAAAAATATGCACTCCTGAGTGAAATTTTGAAATGATTTTATTTTCACTGATTTGGGCATGGAAAGTTTAGATCTTGTACCAAATTGCATCTTGTTCAATAGATGTAATGCAATGTTCGTCGTGGCATATATACAAGGTGAGTCAGAATAAGACCGACAAACTTTGTACACGGTTCCTATCAACCTATGTCCTAAAATGCATCCTCACTTGGATACAGGGTGTCGAAAGTACGAAAAAAGTTGAGGTTTCTCTAAATTTCTCCAGAACCCCTGTAGCAAAAAATATGAAACTCGGTATACCGATCCAGATTAATCAGGGTGACCACATAGAGTTTTCATTTCTCAATTTTATCAACCAGTTTTCCTTATCAATACCTAACCTAAAAGTAATAACATTCTGCATGCCTAAGTGTAGAGGTTCCCAAGATATTTGCAAAAAACTAGAGATATGTCTTGAGGTTGAGACCCAATTCGCTGCGTGCCATAATCGCATAATACTGAACTTTTACGAAAAAACAACATTTTTCAATCTCGTGTAGAATCTGTAGAAGATTTAACTGCTAGAATTTTAGCAGCAGGCATGGTAATCCAGAATACACCAGGCATCTTACAAAACGTGCGACAGTCCATGATCAGAAGATGTCAATTATGTATTGAACAAAATAGAGGTCCATTTGAACATTTGCTTCGAATTTAATTTTTGTATTTCCTTTAGCGCATGAATATTTTATGCGCCAAACGATCTATCAAAATAATTGAAATTTGTTATTGTTTTACATATCGAAAACGTTGCCATGGCTTCCCCTGATTGAAAACTGTTGTTTCAATAGTTTGATGGTTCTGACAAATTTAAGATGGCTTACGACTATTAACCTCGAGTATGTTGATTTACTTCTGACTCACCCACACGATGTTTTCAATTTTTTCGACATTGAAAAATATTCCGGAGGTTGAAAAGTAATATCGATATCTTGTATAATATCAGCATAATGCGATTATGGTACGCAGCAAAAAGTTTTTCGCAAATATCTCTGGAACCTCTTTAGGCATGAAGAATGGTATTACTTCTAAATAATTCATCTGTCCGAGAAAAAATTTGAAAGAAAATGTGGCGTTATACGACCCTTATTACGCCACTTGTTGACGAAATTCAAAAATGAAAACTTCCAGTGATTACTCTGATTGATTGGTATACCAAGTTTAAATTTTTTTGCTACAGGGCTTCTGGAGAAATTTAGAGAAATCTCAACTTTTTTCGTACTTTCGACACCCTGTATATCAGTGAGGAATCCGTGTACAAAGTTTGTCAGTCTTATTATGACAACCTGTATATAGTATAGTCAGGAAAGTAGTTGTTTTCTATTGAATAGATTTCGTCGTTTTTGCGAGCTTCTTTGGACGCAGAAAATTGATCTCCTTCATTTACTGGCATATCAGTTTCATTAGTATCATTCACCTCTCTTAATGAATTGTTCATTTCATTAATTTGATTGAAGAAATTACAGTAATCCATATTAAATAAAATTTGGGTCAATTGGCCTTTGATACTAGTACTAGATTTTTAAAGAATCAAAGAACAGGACAAATTGGAAGACTTGTTTCAAGAAATGCTTACTGACCGAGGGCGACTGAGGGTACACTTGGGCCGTTTTTTCGCTTGTGTGACGGGTTTTTTTGTGCGCGGAAAGTTGTTTTCCTTCATTTACTGTTATATCAGTTTCATTAATTTCATTCGCTACTTAGTGAATTGTTCATTTCTTGAATTTGATTGAAGAAATTACAGTTATCCGTCGTGAATGAAATTTTAGTCAATATGCCTGTGATACTGGATATTTGAAGAATCATAGAAGATGCACAAGCTGGAAGACTTGTTTCAAGAAATGCTTCATCTCTGGTTATACCTTGCACGAGTAGAATCATAAAATATCATCAATTTTCTCTTACATAGTTGGCGAAATAAGTGTCGAGATGTTGGGAAAATTAATTCATTTTATTAGCAAAACAGTGTAAGCGTGATTATCGTCTCAAAATTCCGCACGTCGATATAGAAAATGCCATTGTCGTTCTTAATAAAAAACCTAGTATCCATTTTTGCAGATGTCTTCTATTTTTTTCTGAACTATACTGTACAATTTTGTATATTGTATGTTAATGTGATGAAATTGAATGTTTTTTCTGAATCTGATATTATAACATCTAATTAATCATTTTTATAAGCTGGTATATTTCATCAATTGTGATATTTGTATTTAGCTTCTAGTAGTTATTTTGATGGTCTAACTTTGATAGTTTCTCTTTCTAGTGTTGATCTGATGTTTCTTCTAGCTTCTTGATAATCCCCTGTAGTTAGCCAAGCTAATTGAAGTTCTTAGTCAAATAGGCGAGTCGACAATTCTTTTTTTATTTCTCAAATAGAATCATCACTCAAATACCTTTCAATGTCATATTTTTTAAGAATTTTTCGGTCAATTTTGGTGCTAAAAATCATCAATAATGCCATGGCAATTTTGAAACGGCTACAAATTTCTGCCATGTGGTGAAACACGATTGGGAACTTCAGAAATATTAGTTATTCAATAATTCATAAATTATCACTTATTGACTATTGATGATATTCCTAATTAGCAATAAAAATTCAATTGTCTCAAAATGTTCCCCTATGATTTGTGGGTTATTGCTTATAATAATTTGTGTGAATAATAATTATATTAATTCACACAAATTGTGATTGATTGATTGATTGACACTAGAGCATATTTGAATCGGTGAACGTGACAACCCCGCGCACGACTTGTGGGCGTGGTCTTGTCAGTTCTCAGCATTCAGCACAATGTTGCCAAGTCTCCAACTTCCACATGAGTCCAGCCGTGCGGACAGAGTGTCAGTTTTCTAATCCGCATTCGCTTGCCGGTCGTGGGTTCAATTCCCCGCGACTGCAGACATTTTTTTGATGGCCCAAGAAAGTGTTTTGAGATCACACGTTAAAAGGTAAGGCCCCCGTCATTCCTTGCTCGCACAAGACTCTCGAAGACTTCTGAGGGTTGCTCGTAAGGGGTCAACCGAATGACGGATAGAACAATGTTACAACAATTACGAAAAAAAATTCAATATTATGTTTTTCAACGACATGTCTCCATCTTTTTGATAACTTGATTATAATTGGTGACTTGACAACCTTGCTGCATGAGTGGAAATGGAAGATTATCTGACCAATAACGAAACAGCATAAAAACTGACGTCACCATTTATTCGACGTATCGGCAAATGGCGGCCATGACTTTACGTTTGAAATTAGCTCTGAAATTAAACGATTTTGAACAACGCATAGACTTATTATTTACATAAAAAAGGGTGAGAAGTGTTGCAAAAATTAATTTAGGTTCCTAACGACACAGTGGAGTAATTGGCCAATGATTCATTATCAGTCCACTCGCCCATTCAAATAGCATCAATTTATCGAGCTATTGATATTGTTCATGATTTTTCAACATGACAGATTTTTGTTTATGTACTCGACAAGACTATGGAGAATTTCTAGTTTAGGAATCATAAATAAATAAAATCCTTAATTATCTATACTAACAAGATGAGCCAACCTTATGAGAGCAATGAAGCCAGAAATTCTATGCAGTAATTGGCGGTAGGTATCTATGATCTACAAGGTGAACTACTTTTTGTTGAGTAGCGAAGGGTAGAGATCGGTTGTGCAAAATATATTCAAAGTTCACTTTTAGATGTTTTTCATGCAAGAAAGAATGTTGCATCAGGGCCGGATTTAAACATCTTTATTTTAAAACCTTCAGATTACTAAAGTTAGTGATTTTCCTGCATCAGAAACAAGGATATTTCTAGATAGTTCAGCAACTTGCAGATAGATCGGATTCGAGCAGATTCCGAGAGTATAGGACCAATTTGGTTAAACATTTTTCATGGAGATGGATCAACTTGTGAGTGTACAGTCGTATTCGATAAAAAAGATGTCGGGATCCTAGTTCTAGTTGTGTAAAACTGGCTCCGCCAATGCTTTGTGTTCTCAAGAACCTATGACAACTTTACTGTCAACATTTGGTGAACAATCATTCCCGATAGCCCGTTTCATGCAGAATAGGATGACGTTAATTACTCTCTGTAATAAACTTGTACAGGGTCATTCCGTATATTTGAACAGCTTCTACAAGGTTCATCATTGAAGATAGAGAAAAACTGCGAATGCAAAAGTTGTAGGGTTTGTTCAGAACCTCCAGAAAATTATACCAGATGAAACAAATGAATATCGTTGATATAAGAAATGGATACCAACTTCGTTATATTCAATGGAACACCCTATATATTTCTCGAAACAATTCAAGATCTTTTTTTCCTGATTTCAAAAATATATTGGTCGATATTTGGTTCGGCCGTTTTCGAGATATTCGAGGTTGAACATTTTAGATTTTACCAAATCGCAACTGCCATGAAAAAAAAAACGCGCTTTTATAACTGAATGAGATGCAATTTCACAGATGTTTGATATGACCACCGTTGTTTTGTACACATTTTCTGTAGTCTTTATCCAATTTTTTTATCGTATTGCAAATGAAGTTGGAGTGATGATTGTTCAATATGTTAATGCATTCCAAAATTCTTCCTTTCATATCAGCCAAATTTCTACTTCTTTCCTTATACACTTCATTCTTCAAATAGCCCCTTAGAAATGAATCTAAAGGTGTTAAATCTGGACTGGTCGGCGGCCATTCCACTATTCCAAATTTTCCCATCCACGTTTTTTGATAACGATCGTTCTGATGCCAGATCAATTCATTATACTGAATGAGTGAAAGTTTTTCCAACAACTCTTCAATTTCATTTTTTAAAAACTGCAAATACCTATCTCCTGAAAAAGAACCCTCAAAGAAAATTGGTCCAATCACTTGGCTTGCCAAAATACCACACCAGACATTGAGGAATTTGCGACCCTGGTGCTGAATCTCTTCGTGTCCATGTGGATTATGAGTTGACCAGATACCAGATATGGGTGTTTTTTCGATTATAAACACCGTCGGTGGTGAACGAAGCCTCGTCAGTCCATAAAACCTTCTTGAAAAAATCATTATCCTCGTCTTTTCTCAGCATCATTTCTGTGCAATATGCTTGTCTTGCAATTTTATGATTGTCGGTAAGCTTTTGCACTGGTATAATTTTAAATGGGTGATATCCGTGTTTATGTAGGACAGTTAACATTTTCTTGGTACTTTTGCCGATATGATTAGATGCATCCGTAGTGGAATAAGAAGAATTTTCTAAAAATAATGATATTTTTCATGAACACAAATATTTACTTCATAAGTAATTCAATGTTTGTTCTACCTTGGAAGTAAAGCAATATTTTCAATTCTCCATCTTCATCAGGAATGACAGTGCGTTTTTTTCGTTCTCTCATACTCCTCGCAGTGAAATAAAACGTACTTCTGGAAGGAACTGGCATTCCAGGATGAATGCATTGATACTCCGCTCGAGCTTGACTGAAACCAATATTTCTTCCGAAATTCTATGCAATGAACATGTGACAGAACATTTTATTGATGACAACTTGCGTATGTGTTGTTTTTTCTTCATGGCAATTGCGATTTGGTGAAATCAAATTAAAACTAAATCTAAAATGTTCAACCTCGAATATCTCGATATTGGCTGAACCAAATATCAATGACCAATATATTTTTGAAAATAACGAAGTTGGTACCCATTTCTTATATCAGCGATATTCATTTGTTTCATCTGGTATAATTTTCTGGAGGTTCAGAACAAGCCCTACAACTTTTGCATTCGAAGTTTTTCTCTATCTTCAATGATAAACTCTGTAGAAGCTGTTCAAATATACGGAAAGACCCTGTACGCTTTTTTTTGAATGCGACTGTAAATAATCAAGGATAAAATTAATATACCAGATCAGGAGCATTGTCACTTTTTCCATGTTCGTTCTTCTTCAACGGGTAAAAAAAATACTAGGTTTTCCACTTAAAAACACAACGCCAAAACAACGGGCTACTTCCCCAGCCCGACCAAAGCCTCGTCCATGAGTTCGTCGTCCGTTATACAGGGCGAAACTGTCGGATTGACCAACGGACTAGGCGACTTCACGATATGCACGCTGACCGAGGGCGACTGAGGATACACTTGGGCCGGCTTGCCGCTGAAATCCAGAGCCTCGTCGTGTTTGCGGGCTTCCTTGGGCGCCGGGACGGCGAATTTCGACGCCATGTCGGCGAATTTGGACGCCGCGTCGGCGGGTTTGGTCGAGAGGCTCAGAGGTTCGGGAATGGATGAGGGAAACGGGTTTGGGATGGGTGGGTCGGGTTTGATTGTGTCCTCCTTGGCTGGAAATAAGGTTAGTTGAGAAGTGAACAAAGCAGGATACCTCAATAAAATTTTGTATTTCGATTCACCGATTTCGACGAACGTTTTTTTTTAACTGTAGGGTGAAAAACAAATAAATTGAGAGTAAGAATAATAGATTGTTTTATTAGGATCAAAAGTGACACTTTGTTTGACAAGCGAATTTTGCATTTGCGAGGCGGAGCGTTTAGCGAAGCCGAGCGAGAGCAAAATTTGCGAGTCGAACAAAGTCACTTTTGATCCGAATGAAACATGCTATTTTTTCTGCAACCGAAACAATTAACTCAAATAAACATGTGAAGTAACCACCAATGCCGTGCCATATGTATGCAATGCAACAAATACTGACAAATAATCCATGTGGTAAGAATATTCTACCTGCATTAACAGCAGGTTAGGTTTTCAAGGATGTTCGAATTGTAGTTTCAATATAAATACAACCACAGAGTGACATATTTGTGTATGGACCAGGTGCTCTAATGGCAAATACCGCGCCAGTGCCAGCTATAGGAACAAGACGTGGAAAATGTTAGGTTAGTGAGCATATCAACAATGATAATAGTGAATATTTATTCCTCTCCATACTACACTGTGTTTGACTTGATAATCAAATGAAGCTAAACAATATCGCTGTTTGAGACAAAAAACTATTGCTTGCCGTGATTATTCAAAAACAAGTTATCCATCCCGAGAATAACGAATGAAATACAGATCAAGCAAGTATTTGAATCTTTGAGGCTTCCTTGATCAAACGAAAAATACTTAGCTGAGATGTTTATAATTCCAATACTAAACTATAATAAGGTGTATTTATATCTCCAGCATGGGTATGAAATGCCAAATCTGCTGAAATCGGAAACAAATCAGGTATGCGTCTCAACCCAAATAGCCAACCGTCACAATGTTGTTTATTCTTGATGACGTCCAGTACATCCTTTTTAGTTCCTAGGAGCTAAAGTTCAACTTTAGCTCCTAGGAACTAAAATTCAACTTTAGCTCCTAGGAACTGAATATGTTGGCTAGCAACATACCTATTTTTGTGTCAGTAATAGAAACGTCAATTTAAGAGCTAATTTTGGTATCAAAATGGACGACTTTTGTGTCGGTTGCAGAAAGACAATTTTAATAATCGTAGATTGTTTCATTAGGATCAAAAGTGACACTTTGTTTGACAAGCGAATTTTGCATTTGCGAGGCGGAGCGTTTAGCGAAACCGAGAGAAAGCAAAATTTGCGAGTTAAACAAAGTCACTTTTGATCCGAATGAAACATGCTAGTTTTTCTGCAACCGAAACAATCGACTCAAATAAATATGTGAAGTATCCACCAATGCCGTGCCATATGTATGCAATGCAACAAATCAAAATCCGTGTGGTGAGAATATTCTACCTGCATTAACAGCAGGTTTATTCAATTTTCAAGGATATGCGAAATGTAGTTTCAATATACATAAAACCACAGAGTGAAAATTTCATATGATTCTCGAATATTTGCGATCATAGTCATCATGCTCAAGATATTTTGTACGTGTGAGATTGTTCTAGAACATTCCTAAGAGATTTGAGACTGTTTCTAAACATTCAAGAGCATTTGAAAATTTGTCTTCCTTTTAAAACAGTCAAATATATTCCTGGAAGTTTTTCAATCCAGAACATTTTTGAAATTTGAACAGTTTGAATAATTTGAACATTTGAACTGACTTTGGACATTTGACAGATTCTGAGGCAAATCCTTCGCCTTGAACCCGTTCTCATCGTCGGCCAAAATCAGTGACACATTATCGACGCTATTTTGGCAGAATTTTTAGAAAATTTGATATCATTCAAGAGCATTTCCGATTATTGTCATCATTCTCAAAATATTTCGAATTTTTGAGATTGATCTAGAACATTTGTGAAAGATTAGAGAATATTTCTAAACATTCAAGAGCATTTGAGAATTCCTAAAATTTTTATTGAAGCTATTTTGAGTGAATTTTTAGAAAATTTGATATCATTTTAGAACATATTTTAGGACCATTGTCATCATTCTTGAAATATTCAGAATGTTCGAGATTTATAAACATTCCTGAAAGATTTGAGAATATTTATAAACATTCAAAAGCATTTGAACATTCCTCAAATTGTTATTGACGCTATTTTGACCGAATTTTTAGAAAATTTCATATGATTCTTGAACATTTGCGATCATAGTCATCATTCTCAAGATATTTTGTACGTTTGAGATTGTACTAAAACATTCCTGCGAGATTTGAGACATGTTTCTAAATATTCAAGAGCATTCGAAAATTCCTCTTCCTTTTAAAGCAGTCAAAGATATTCCTGAAATTTTTTCAATCCAGAACATTTTCGAAATTTGAACAATTTGAACTATTTGAATAATTTGAACATTTGAACTCACTTTGGACATTTGACAGATTCTGAGACAAATCCTTCGCTTTGAACCCATCCTCATCGCCGCCTAAAATCATCGGCACATTATTCACGCTGTTCCGCATCTTCAGCTCCATCGCTCCATCAAAATGTTTACCACCCTGTACCACCAACGGATATTTCGACACAGAAACATCATTTTTAGTCACCAAATTATACGGCCCTTTGGTCACGTTGTTCAACTTTTTATCATCGTTCATTCTCGCCGAGAGTTTCGGGATTTGGAAGTTTTTGTCCAAAGTTTTGACCATGAGGCTTGACTGCGTCATTTTGTACACACTGTCGACCTCTTCTCTTGTCGAAACCGGTTTTTCTGTTTTGCTGGATTTGATGCGGTCCTTAGTTTTGCTCAGATCAGTGGCGCTGCTACTCGATTTCAGATTCGGGGACAACTTAGAAATAGTTTTGGACACTCCTCCGATGTTACTGTTAGTGCCAGATAGAGAAGAAGGTGATTTAGTCAGTTTGTTGCTGGTCGATGAATTTTTTAGGTTATTGTTGTAGGTCATGTTGGTGGAATTAGGGGTTGTATTGCTGGTGGTAGTGGATTTTTGAAGTTGTTGCGGTTTTTTGGACGCGGGACCGCTGTTTACACCCGGTTTTAGGCCGGTGTGGGTTTTCGGTGAACCGGTGGTGACACCTGCAACAATCGTTCCACATTTTTGACAGCTTTCATCATCGATCATTTTCTTTTGTTTTGAAGTTTTTGTATATTTAGAGTACGGACTAGCTGACAAGCACTGGGAATCAAACATGAACACAGATAAATACAGGGCTCTTCAAAAAAACCTGACCCCCTTACTAGGGTAGGTAGAACACTGCAGAATAAGTCGGGTTTACTCAGTAAAAAAATTTCGTAACGGCATCCGTTATCAAGATACAAGGTGTTGAAAAAATGATTTTTTACACATTTTTCAAGATTATGTCGAAACTACTGGCAAAATTGTGATGAAATTTTGTATGGATGTATCTTGGAATCCGACACATCGCATGCATTTGTTTTTATATCTGACTCTCATAGAGGGCGAGTAGTTTTGAACATAACTTTTTTGAGGTTAGATTTTTCAATCCAAATTTGATGTGAACTTCAATTTCACACCAAAAAGGTACTCTTGGTAAAACTCGATACTGTGTTCTGTTCTCGGAATATTTCGATTTGAAAATGATGAAGTGATAACTGTTGCTGGTATAAAACTAATAATAATAATAATAATAATAATAATAATAATCTTTATTTGAAAAAACAGCCAAGTACAAACACTAGACTTGTAAAAGGTTGTAGAAACAAACGGGCGTCACACAATATAGGCTACTATAAAACCATCACAAAAATGTATAGTACAAATAGAATCATACAATAGAAAAAAATACTGACTAAACAATTTATTCTAAGTTCGCCTGAAGGTAATCACTTATGGAGTAGGACTCCAGGTTTATTAGAAGCTTCCATATTTCTTTTTTGAAAACGTTTGGAGAGGAAAGAGACTTAATTCTTTCTGATAACTTGTTGAAAAATTTGATTGAATTATATGAAGCATTTTTTTCTGTGACCGCCAATCTATGTGCAGGATAATTATAAATTATGTTTCTAGTGTTATAGACAATTTGGGGTACATAATCAGAAAAAAAATTTCGATTCTTAGTTAAAAACAAGAGACATTCCTGAATATACACAGCAACAATTGTTAATATTTTAGCTGAACAAAACTTCCTCCTACATGATTCTCTATAATTTAATTTGTACATAATTCGTACAACCCTTTTCTGAAAAATAAATAAGTGGTCTATAGAACTACTACCGCCATAGAATAATATACCATATCTGAAGATTGATTCAAAGTTAGCATGATACACAACTTTAAGGATACTAGAATTCAGATGCTTGGATAGTATTCTTATCGCATAGCACACTTTACATAATTTGCTAGCTAAATCATTAGTGTGGACATTCCAGTTAAGGTAACGGTCTATATGGATTCCTAAGAATTTGGTACTAGGTGCTATTTCCATCTCTTTATTATTCAACACAATATTACTAGGCACTGCCTGGTTTGCATTTCTAGTTGTAAATATAACAACATTTGTTTTTTCTTCATTTACAAATTGTTTATTTTCTGAAAACCACTCATTTATTAACTTGAACATTAAGTTAGAGTTGTCTAATATAGGTTGAAATGTTCTTCCTTCAATCAAAATATTTGTATCATCAGCATAGTTAACCATTTCACAATCAGAGTATGGTGTCAGGACATCACACACATCAACTATGTATTAGAGTGAATATTATGAAAAATTATCACCTATTTATTGAAAACCGAAAACAACAATACATTTCTGATGCTAAACTTATTGATTTAACAATGAATCACAAGAATAACATCGAAACAGTTTTGACTAAGAACATGGATTACACAGTTTTGTTGTATCTTGAACAGAAAGTCTATGCTATAGGTAAATTCACGTCAAGAGTTGTAAGACATAATTGAACATCACTTAAATGAAGTAACAGCTGATCCTTAACTGTTTAGAAGAATAATACATTCTTAAGAAAAGAATATAGAATCGTGTATTCGTCGAAACGTAGGACATTTTGAACAATTACTCTAACATGTTTCTAGTCAAATATCTCTTAATTTTCTACTTATGACTCTTTGTTCCATCAATAACTTCAGTACAAGAATCATTTTATTGTTTTTGAATCTGAATAAATAGGTAATTGAACTCAATAAAATTCATTTTATACCAGCATCATTACTACTCCATTATTTTCAAATCGAAATATTCCGAAAACGGAACATATTATCGAGTTTCACCAGGAGTACCTTTTTGGTGTAAAATTGAATGATGTTCAAGTTTATATCATATTTGGATTGAAAAATCTAACCTCAAAAAAGTTATGTTCAAAACTACTCGGTACGAACGTGTAACTAGCGCCATCTATGAGAGAAAGATATAAAAACAAATTCATGCGATGTGTCAGATTTCAAGAAACATCCATACAAAATTTCATTACAATGTTATGATATGATATGATTTATTGCAGCATTAAAGGTTGTACATAAGTAAAATGCATAACACTTATCAGCCTAGTCAAGATTCAAGTATATAGTAGTTTTAAAATCGAACATAATGATAACAAATAATCAATATAAATACATTCACAAACTGATTAAAATATAAGTTAAAATCATTTCAAAGTAATCATTATCAATACGTTCACAACAAAATTAAAAAATAAGTAAAACCATTTCAAAATTGAAGAAAATGCTCTATGGAATAGAATGCATTTTCAAGTAGGAATCTTTTAAGTATAGTCTCAAATGATATGTTTTTGACATATTTGTAGACGTGAGTAACTTTGATGAATATCACATTTTGATCTTGTATTATGCGAGTGTATATCCTCATTCTTCTCAAACTTATGCTCATTAGCTCGAATGTAGATAACAGAGCAATATATAAATAGGCTAGGTAAAGTCATTATTTGTGCTCTAGTGAAGAGATTATTACAGGTAGTCGATGGATGAACATTGACCATGATTCTTATGATTTTTTTCTGAGCGATGAAAACATTCTCAAAGTGTGCTGATGATCCCCAAAATATCAGTCCATATTGTAAAGTTGATTGTACCAGGCCAAAATACAACAGTCTTAGTACGTCAAACGATACTGTTTCTCTTAAATTTCTAATTATATAGCAGCATGTACTCAGTTTAAAACAAACTCTGCTTATATGTGGCTCCCATGTCAATTTTGGATCAAGTGTGATTCCCAAAAACTTCATAGTGTCTGTGGATCGAATAGTACTGAACTGTTGCCAGTAGTTTCGACATAATCGTGAAAAATAATTTTTTCAACACCTTGTATAATGAAAACGGAGGCCGTTACGATATTTTTTCATTGAGCAAACCCAACTTATTTTGCAGTGTTCTACCTACCCTAGCAGGGAGATCGTTTTTTTGAAACACCCTGTATATGAAGAAGGCCAGTCCTGACAGTACATGACATCAATTTCAATTTCAAACTGAGAACAAATTGAGAAGAACATTGGGTGCAAGTTTGTGCTGTTTCTAACTGCAAAAATACTGAAGAGGCGTGAAATATAGGTTCAGCCTTAAAGGACCCCGCACCATTTACATTGAAATCTCGTCTACGGTGAAATATTGTGAGAATCTAAGATATGATAGATCAAATCATGCTAAATATCCTTTGGTCCAAGGTCCGTTATGCCCGTTAAAAAAAAGTTATAAGCTGTTGAAGCCAAACGAGATAACCTCTACCAGAACAGCACATCCTGTGTGTTATATGGTTTTGACTAATATGATTTTTTGAGTTGTGTTGTGTTGAAGAGGAACTTGAAATTCGGGATAACGTTCATTCTATGAACCTGACTGTTGCCTTTCCCATCCATGCAAGAGTGTGCATATTTTGTGGCGCAAATAATAATTTACTTCACATATCATTAGTTGCTAGAGTCAATGTATATATCGTAAATAATATTTTTATACCTGAAAATGCCCAATCTTGTCGGTAATATGTCAACGCTGATGATATAATATTGCGATCAATGATTAGTGGTTTACGTTATTCGCGAGATTCACGAAGTGGGCGACATCTAGGTTAGGTTAGGTTAGGTTAGGTAGTGCATAGACTACATTGCATACAGCTTGCTGTAGCTGTAGTTGTCAAACTTGTCAATGAAATAAAGTGTTGGCACTGTTGGTAGTGATGATGGTTTAGTTGGTTAATTTTTATACATTATTACATTTTTATTAGTTTAGTGAACAGTGAACGGGTGAAGAATTGGAGATAGTTCAAACAATTCAAACTAATTATGACGAGCAAATCAATTGACATATAAAAGAACAGCTACAACATGTTTACAATACCCAGATTGTCCTGCTTTGCAGGAACAAATACAAATCCATTGTTCTACAGGAGTTCCTCTGGACCCCAACTTCAATTTTACTTCATGTGGGAAGATTTCATCGCCAAAGTTGGTAGACAAAGTGCAAAAATGTGCCTTTTGTTGAAGTCTTCTGCCTCACACAAAATCACATGATTAGCACGAAGAACTACTTCTCCTTCCACTACTGGTCGGCTTTTTCCATCTAAATAGAGCAAAATATCTGCCAAAAGAACATCTACAACCGGCGTTATTAGCGTTTTCGATCGAATATTGACAATTAATGTCAAGAAATTTGAAAACTCATCACTCTCATCAGTACACACTACACAAACTAATGGCACTAATGGGATTAAGTGAGGATTGAGTTTGTTTTCCCCAGTTTTGACGTGGCTTTGACATGGAACGATGAAAACCGAGCGCCACCTGGTGACATTGATTCCAGCGAATATATTACAATGGATTATTACTTTACAATGAATTGCCAACAAAACTTGAAAAAATATCAGTACCAAAAAATTCAAGTCACTCAAACAATAAGGATCAGCTCAAACTCTGAGGATTACTAGAATAATTATTATTATACATATTATATACCTACTACATTTTAAATGTAATGTAATACATTATGGTTTATATTTTAATGTTACCTGTTAGAAACATATACGTCAATTGTTTCTTGGGAATAATAAATAAGATGATGATGTTGAAAAAAAAAATAGTATTTTTACTAGAAATGAGTGTTCTTGCCTATTCTCACCTTTGTTAACATTGCCGGCGGTCGTCCCCTTATTACCAGGACTCTCCTTACTCCTCGTCTTGTTGATGGTGATCTTCATGCCGTCGGAGCTCGGCTTCACCATGTACTCGGAATTCTTCATCTCGCCCACTTTGCCACCACTCTTGCCGCCACCAGACTCGCCCGATTTGTGCGCGCTCGAGCCGGTGCGCTCCTTGTTGCCGGTCGATTTGCTGCTCAGGTCCGTCGCTATGTCGCAGTGTTGAGCGTTCACCTTGTTTGTTTTTGCAAAAAATAGTGCATTAAAGTATGAGTGGATATTAACCTTATCGCTCGGCATGTCCTCAAATGGGGACAGCATTTCGTTTTGATCAAGATGTTCTTGGTTTTGAAGTTATGGGCGCGGAATTTTTCAATACTTTATATTAATTCCCCTCCCTTTGTGAATATTTCTTGAAAACTTATGAAATGATGAGTTGTTTCTTTCAGAAGTATTTACACATTGTCCCGGGATTTTCTATTCCTTCTTTGCCCATTTCACAGAACGCATTTCATATAGATTCTCATCGCAGGAACATACACTCTGTTAGTCATTTAAATACTACGTTTGTGTAAAATACAGAGTGGGCCTTTGAAAACGAAACAGAGGCTCTGTAGGTCGCCAAAACCGGATTGTGAAAAGAATCTGAAACACGTCATCTACATTTTCGAGGGGGACATCGTCCTACAATATTTTCAGCCCTGCGGCGTTGCCGCTGCTAACGAAAAGAAGCAACAACTTTGTTATTCCAAATGGAACACCTTGTATTTTATTGCATTTTTAGATTCTCCCCGAAAATCTGATTTCATCAATGCATCACACTTGGGGTCTAGCTGTAATGGTTTCAGGGATATAAAGTGTTCAAAATCGAGATTTTTCAACTTTAACATTTTTTTGTGTCGAAACTAATCATTATTGGTCAAAACGACTCCCATGTCCCTATCTCAACTTGTGATTCACTATCTACTAACATTTAATTGGAACAGATACAGGGTGATCAGAATTCTGAATCTTGAACCACCCTGTATTTGTTTCAAATAAATGTCAGTAGATAGTAAATCACAAGTTGAGATAGGGACATGAGAGCCGTTTTGACCAATAATGAATAGTTTCGACACAAAAAAATTTTAAAGTTGAAAAATCTCGATTTTGAACACTTTATATCCCTGAAACCATTACAGCTAGACCCCAAGCGTGATGCATTGATGAATTCAGCTCTTCGGAGAGAATCTAAGAATGCAATAAAATACAAGGTGTTCCATTTGAAATAACAAAGTTGTTGCTTCTTTTCTTTAGAAGCGGCAACGCCGCAGGGCTGAAAATATTTTAGAAAGATGTCCCCCTCGAAAATGTAGTTGACCTGTTTCAGTTTTTTTTTGATAATCCGGTTTTGGCGACCTACAGAGCCTCTGTTTCGTTTTCAAAGGCCCACTCTGTATACAATGGTATATATCAATCCTGAGACATTTTCGATGAACTGTGAGATATTTATTAAGTGACTACAATGTAAGTCTATTATTTGGTTTCATTTAACAGTATAAATCTAAAGCAGACTATTTTGAGAATAAATATAATTCGGCAGTGTCAAATCTGTGAATAAAACTTAGATACAATTATCAACTGGACATTTCACAGGAACGTAGAAATGTACTGTATCAAGTGGCGATCTTGTTTGAAGGCTTGCTTTTGTTGATGAGAAGTGTTTGAAATAATGGAAATATCAAATAACCTCACTTAGACGTTGAAAAATGTCTTATTATTTTGTTACTAGTGAGTGTTAATTTATTAATGCACAACACATCTATTGAAATCCCGATTTATCAGATATATAAAATATATCAAGTTTCTGGCAATGATTCAAAGTTATCCCCACCATTCGCGATTTCATTCATTTACTCGTGTTTTGCGTTTAGGATTGTTGGCGTATACTTTTCAATGATTAATGAGTGAATCGCGGTGTCTATCTATTGTTATTTAACCTGGCTCTATTACCTTTAGCTTGTCGACAATGGCCGAAAGCGACCCTTTGCGATTCCTCGCTTGGTTCGCGTTCGTCTTGGAAGAGTCCCCGGTCGCGGTAGGCGAAGAAAGGCCATCCGAAGTCGCATCGACCGCGTTGACCTCGGAACTTTTCGTTTTGATCGAGGAGCTCTTGGTTTTGGAGTTGTTGACGCCGAACAGGCCGGAGTTTTTCTTGTCCTTGTCGCGAGAGCCGTCCCTGTTGAAAAAATCGTCATTCGAGAATGAATATTGACCTTTTTTTTCAATTGACTCGGCCGTTACTTGATGGAAATCTATAGCAAATGTAAAAACTTCACGGTTCAAGTTTAATAAAACACTATTTGTTTATAATCATAGATACTTCCAAATTTTGAAACGACAGAAAAATGGCAACGCTGTGTACTGTGCGTCAATGTTCACACTTTCTTACCGCGTAGGTTAACTAAGGGGCGAGACAATTTTACAACAATGCCAACGCTATTATACCTATTAGATAATGTTTAGGTCTTATCTTTCAACTTTAATACCAAATATTTGTAGTACCTTCATGTTGATTGATTTTTCAGTAGAATTTTGATTCATCATTCAGTAGAATTTGAACAAAAGAAACAAGGTTTCTTGCAATGATTTAGTTAAATAATCTGCGATAACTGCACCACTGCCGAGACCTCTGCTCAAGTTAAAAGAAACATATAACCTTACAGTCGAAATTCCAATTTAGGGTTTGAATAGGTCGCGTGCACATCACCGACCCTGGAGGTGAAATATTGGAACACAACCTCACTCTTCTGTGGATTATTGAAACACAACCTCACTTTTTTATTTGGTTACTGAGGAATCAAAGGATTGAAATAGTTCTTCACAATATTATGGCTAACGAATCGTGTTTTTTCCGCTATTCATTAATTCAAGCATGCCTTCGCATTGTGCTGTACAATGCACAAAAAATGCAGATGAAGGAATATGATTTTTCAGGTAAAACGTAATCTCACATAGTTATCATTATGTAATGTTGTCATTCCTTATTAAAATTCCTTCTGCCACTTCTGCAATACAAGCTGATACTGCTAATAGATTGAAAATGTCTACAGCACACACGATCAGCATGTCAGACCAGCCCTCCCGTTTGATTGCATGAATCAAATCTTCTTGCATTATTTTAGAAATTTCATGTGTATTTCTATAAGCTCCTATTGCAGAAGGAATTCCGATGAGAAATCAGAGAAATTACCAAATTTCAAAAATGAAAACTATATGTGAGTGACTATACTAGGTACTTACTTTTAAATCATAATGTACCAACAGGATTCCTTCGTCTTCTGCTGCAGTTTTTGTGCATTGTACAACAGCACAATGTAATGGCATGAGCGAATTAATGAATAGCCGAAAAATACGATTCCTATGCCAAAATAATTGTGAAAAACTATTTCAATCACTTGTGAAAAAATGAGAAAAGTGAGGTTGTGTTTCAATGTTGTTCCTCCAGGGTCGGTCATCCGACAGTTCTTGCACGCAACCCATGGTGAAATTTTTCACAATCCACGCACTGGCGAAACATAATAGACTTTTAATAATTGTCTTTATATTAAAAGATTCCAAATGGAGGCATCGTAGATAGACACAATTGCACCACTCAAACACATTTTTATTCACTCAGGACGGCTTGTACAAAGATGACCGTTTATGAAAATACAACATCGACAAGTGATTCGTTCTACGATATTAATCGACTGAACCTGCTTCAGTCTTTTATCACACGATGATTACGAATACCGATGAGTCGTCGAAGCCGCTTGTGATAAGGCATTCCTTAGGCGTTCTTCTCATTCACGGGGTGATTTGAACACAGTCGCTAACAATATACAGTTCTCAACACACTAAATGGACCACTCATAATTTGGCTCTATTTCGAAGACCTGTATTTTTTGAAAACATTGACCGATCTTCATGCAGTTTTCGATATCAGATGTGATATTTCATCGGCTTCAAAGAGCGCTAGAACACTCTGAAAAAGTCCGCACAACAAAACTTACACAGGGTGTAAAGTGGAACCATTACACTATGGTCTACATTTCCAATGCTGCCAGATCTCGATACATGTTTTTCTGATGAAAAGTCAGTCATATTATGATACACTGGGACCTCATCTCGGGACATTTTCGTGATTTCTCCTTAATTGGCCATAGAAACAAAAATTCGATTTTCTTTTCGAAAGTCTTACATTTTTCGAGTTTTTTCTCTGGAACTCCACTTGAGCTGACTATTAGGAAGAACTGTTCTCATGTTTTGTGGAGGACAATGAAAGACAAAAAAAGCACTATTGTGGAATATATACATTCGATTCAGTATATTCAGAAACGGCCTTCTCGATATCCATTATTTATATTAGGCTACTAACTCTAATTGAAATACAGGATGAAAATTTTCTATACAAACTTGTTTCCTGATAACGATTATTCTTGTCAACTCATTTCCAATATTTCTTGCCCAAGTATTAGACACAGAGTATTGTTGTTCAATCTACTGAGTGTTTCACAACTTATCTGACAAATTACGAACTCTAGAAAACCATAATGTTAGAACAATGTGGTGACCAGCATTATCTTCAGATTTCAATACAACTACGATATTACATGAGCAGTCTATCACATACAAATTGTATAGAAGTAAAACGAAATGGAAACACTTTATATCCAATAAAACTATCCGCTTTATTGGCGAAATATGACATTAGTGAATTCTTCAGCATTATGAAGTTCCAACTAAAAAGTCCTATATCCTAAATTTCAGTACTTGGTAGGGCATCCCCGATTTAACAAAACCTCATGAAATCGGTTTGGCATAGATTCTATGAGGTTGTTGATGAAGTCTATTGATATTGCCACCCATTCTTCTGATACAGCTTGGATAAGGTTGTCATTATTTTGGAACGCCTCTCGCTTTCTCGATAGGTTGACTTCCATTCGGCTCCACACATGTTCAATCAAATTCAGATTTGGAGATAATGGTGGTCACCACTTTCTTTTAACATTATTGTTTCCTAGTTGTCAGATAAGTTGTGAAACACTCAGTATATTGAACAGCAATACTCTGTGTCTCATACTTGGGCAATATATATTGGAAATCAGTTGACAAGAATTATCGATATCAGGAAACACGTTTGTATTGAGAATTTTCATCCTTTCAATTCATCATTTCAATTAGAGACAAATTTTCGAAAACGTCTCGAGTCAATAGTATAATATAAATTATGGATATCGAGAAGGCCGTTTCTGAATATACTGATTCGAATTGGCCATGGTTTTAGTCACCATTTTTGATTTTCTTTACTGAAATGAGATTTTGTCCTATTTTCTTATCATCCTGTATATTCCACAATAGTGCTTTTTCGTCTTTCATTGTCCTCCACAAAACATGAGAACAGTTCTTCCCAATAGTCAGCTCAAGTGGAGTTCTAGACAAAAAATTCAAGAAATGCAAGACTTTCAAAAAATATCAAATTTTTGTTCCAATGGCCAATCAGGGAGAAATCACGAAAACGTCCCGAGATGAGGTCCCAGTGTATCATAGTATGACTGACTTTTGATCAGAAAAAAAATTCTCGAGTTCTGGCAGCATTGGAAATGTAGACCATAGTGTAATGGTTCCACTTTACACCCTGTGTAAGTTTTGTTCTGCGGACTTTTTCAGAGTGTTCTAGCTCTTTTTGAAGCCGATGAAACATCACATCTGATATCGAAAACCGCACGAAGATCGGTCATTTTTTTCAAAAAATACAGTTCTCGAAATAGAGTCGCATTATGAGTGGTTGATTTAGTGTGTTGAGAACTGTAGTTTTATAAGAAGAAATCACTGAAATTCACTTGAAACATAAAAATTACTAAAATGGTAACAAACACAGCACAACAACACTATATCTTCGGATTTTGACATACATGAAAAAATATGCTTAACTCGTATTAAACACGCCAAATACAGCGTTGTTGGATCGGGACAAAATGAAATCAATTTCGTCTCCCCTCTTTTTATAAGTCTATGGTAGGGAATATCTTCGCGTCAAAACATTGGAGCGTCGGCCCTATCTAGGATTCCTTGTTGATCGGAGGGACGCACCGTTACCATCGAAACTACAAGGCCTGAAGGTTCGTAGTGAGAATGTTGGATAAGCGGCCTTGTGCTCGAATTCTTTTGTTGTTTATTCATCAAAATAATTGGCGGAAAATTTACTGTTTTGGTAAATATTTTGTGTTGTGATAGGCGAAATAACAATGCATTTCAAGTGTTGTATTCTGTTTTGTCGGGGGAATTATGTGGGTGGTCCAAAAGTTCATGCTTTTAGATTCCCGTTTGACAAGGAACTATCGTAAAAATGGGTACATGCAATTCACCGCGAGGATTTTACTCTATCTAAGTACAGTAGAGTATGTGAATTACATTTTACTAAAGAAAAATGAAAACGGCTCAGAATTCAATCACTGCTCACGCTAAAATCTCGTACTTACGGTAATATACAAATGAGGCGCTTCCACGAAAATATTGTTTTCACCGAAGAAATCCAAGAGAATCATTCTTTCAATCCAGATATCATAGTAGAGGAATCTGATATAGATAAATATAGTGATGACATGCCAGTAATAACCTATTTGGCAGGTTATTGTTGCTATAGTACACTTAAAAAAATTCAGTGCGAATTTTGTAAACAGAAGGAAGGTAGAGGTGCTTATCATAGTGTCCGTACTCTTGAAAAAACGTCAAAACAGCAGTGTCAAGTACATTTAAGAACTCTAGTTAGGCCTCACTAGGGTCCCTTGATGGTCCCTTGATGGACAGATCCTCGTCTCCTCTCACTCTAAAGTGTTTGTGAAACAGCTATATAGTTCCATCCTTATTTAATTCTGAGGATAAACACTAGATTTTTTACATTTGTTGTTTTTTAGGTCATTGGCGTATCATACGTAATTTTCATATGGAATTCCTGATTCAACTATACCAAGATATAGAAGAACAATCCTCTAGTTTCAGAGTTAACTGCTCCAGCATAATCTTTGCGATTAAGGGAACATATGAATTGTACTGAAACCTTAATATATTTCACCAAAAGAGACTGTATACCAGAGTTGACTGAATTGACTGAATCAATTCTGATTTCAAGCTGAGCAGTAGTTTATCTATGAGCGGAATGAGCTAAGCATAATGATTGAGAAACGGTGAAAATCTCGATGTGGGTATCTAAACTACTATACTCATGTCATATGTGCTAAATATATTTTCGGAAAGCCAATGACCTCGATATAACCTAAAGAACAACAAATGTCAAAAATCAAGTGTTTATCCCCAGAATTGAATAAGGATGGAACTATATAACTGTTTCACAAACACTTTAGAGTGAGAGGAGACGAGGATCTGTCCGTACCCTGTTAGGATGACTTTAACGTCGATTTCCATCAAGAGACCCTACATCAAGGGACCCTAGGCCTCACTAAGGTGACGTCATCACAGAGCCTGCAGGCCTTGAAGTTTCGACGTTAACGGTCGCACACACACACACACATACATACATACATACATACATACATACATACATACATACATACATACATACATACATACATACATACATACATACATACATACATACCTCAAACTCGACTTCGCTTTGACGTCCCCACCTCCCTTGTTCGAGGGCGAACTGGCTGCACTCTTGAGGGCCGATATGCTCGGCTTGCCCGAACCGCCGCCCGAGGAGTGTTTCGGCGACGACCCGTGATGCTTGGGCGACGAAACGCCCGAGGGCAGCGAATGCTTTGGGCTGACGTTGACAGGCGAGTGTCGCGGGCTGGTAGAGGACTGCGCGGGCTTAAGGAGGCTGCCGGGACTAGGCTGGAAAGTTCCAGATTATTATAGTGAGCGCAGGGTATAACATGAAGTTATAGTCATGTTGTAGCCATCTAATGGCAAAGCTCTAAGGTAGGTTCCAGAGATCGTGACACACACTGTATGGCGCTGCCACGTACAGACCCTTACGTCTATACGCTACAGAGTGGTACTACAAGAAGTGCCGGACTGGCACATCTCAGCTAGTTGAGAAAATTGGTGCCCCCAATGAGGCTGCTCGGTCTGTTGGATGAGTCGCATCCGGAATTTTTACCACAGCGTAACATTTTGAATAGCGACGCGGTTTCGTAAACTACTGAACAACTCCCAAGTTTACAATTCTTTTAACAAAACACAGAATCGAATTGACAAAGATTCAATTACTTCTGAAGGTTTCATTAACAACGCAGGTCTAATTGTGACTTCAAGTACAACAGATTACCAGTTACAAGTCGAAAGGACCCCGCACTAAACTATAGGGAAAATGGCTCTCGATGAAAATCGCTGAATTTTTGGTATGTTGCAGACTTTGATATACTGAACAGATATTCCATCGAACTAACCTCAAAAAATGGACAGTTTTTCCGATATTGGCCTCCAAATGTCACTTTTTCGAAAAAAAAATGTATCTGAAAATGGTTGGATTTTCTGGCATGTTGTAGATAGGACTGAACTGATTAAAAAATCCAATTGACCTAACCTCAAAAAAAAAATTGACACTTTTCGGATATTGACCTCCAAATCTAATTTTTTCGAAAAATAATCTATAAAACGGCTGGATTATGTAGGTATGTTGTGGATATGAATAAACTGATGCAAAAACCCTATTGACCTTTACTCAAGAAATTGACAGTTTTACTGCTATACTGACCCCTAAATGGCATTCAAACAACTGTATGAAAGTAAACCTTCAGAATGTTATTCTGTACAATTCCAAGGTTAGGAGAGTCAGGGAAAAATAATGCTTCATCATCATCGACGTTTCGTCCTTTATTATGGGGCATCCTCAGAAATCTATGAGTAAACCTACTAGAAAAATGAGTTGATTATACTATGTTATAGTTTCGATTTTCAAACATATTTACCTGAACATCCTCATATAGGTGAGTAGATGGGCCTGTTTCAGGAAAATATTTCATTTTCATTCATCATTTTGAAGAACTAACCCAAACTTGTTCACTTGTTCACTTGTCAATTGTAAATAATTAGTGAAATTCACGATATTTTATCTCATGAAAATCGCGGGACAACGCGTGTACATATTGTAAATAACTATTGGAATTCACGATATTTCATTACATGAAAATTGCGAAACAACGCGTGACGTCATATACCGGGATCAATCCATTGCAAATATTTTGTTTTATTCCATGATTTTGAAGAGCTAACCCAAAGTTGTTCACTGTTTTTTTTTTCCTTGAAAAAATTACATTTGGAGGTCAATATTGAGGAAACTGTCAATTTTTGGGGGTTATGTCAATCAGATTTATTCATCAGTTCATTCCTATCTACAAGATGTCAAAAATTCAACCATTTTCAGATACTTTTTTTTCTAGAAAAAATGACATTTGGAGGTAAATATCAGAAAAACTGTCCATTTTTCGAGGTTAGTTCGATGGAATATCTGATCAGTATATCGAAGTCTGCAACATACCAAAAATTCAGCGATTTTCATCGAGAGCCATTTTCCCTATAGTTTAGTGCGGGGTCCTTTCAAAGATAATTTTCCGATTTAAATATATTGTAATATTTTTTCAATATCGAGTCGTCGGTTTTCTCGTCTTAAAAAAAAGTGTAATTACACGAAAAAAATGCTAGATTTCAGCTCTCGGTTTATTGTCTACCTAATACTATTCAATAATCTAATACCCTCTTCCCTTGTATAATAAATAATTAATGTTTCTCACAAAACAAACAAACAATATGTCAGCATAATTAATAAAATTAAATGAATAAACTGTAAAACAAGGAACTATGGAGGACAAATTCAGTAGAGGTATGTCACATAACAAAAACATTGAAGTTCTGTCTTCACTTTTTTGCCTGTTCAGATGAAAAAAAAAAGATCTCAAGTACTCCGATCAATAGATAAAAGAAAATTTATACACCAATCCGCCATTGAACAACACGAGTGTGAAAAAGACAGATTACCGTAACACAAGCTATCTTTGTTGCAGCTGCCCCTGACACACTCTGTGCTATTCGAGAAACCGGCACAGTCTCCCTTCTAGGTGTTTATATTGAGTTCATTGGATTTACCTCCATGGTTGGTCATCTGACAGATCTTGTACGCAAACTTTAGTCTTCTAACAGTTCTAACCTAACCTGACTAAGCCCATAGGTCGCGTGCACGATGACCGACCCTGGAGGTGAAATATTGAAACACAACCTCACTCTTCTGTAAATTATTGAAACACAACCTCACTTTTTTTATTTGTTTACAGAGGAATCGAAGGATTGGAATAGTTTTTCACAATATTTTGGCATACGAATTGTGTTTTTTGCGCTATTCATTAATTCAAGCATGCCTTGTCATTTTGTTGTTGTACAATGCATAAAAAAAGCAGCGAGAGACGAAGGAATATGATTTTTCAGGTAAATAGTAATCTCGTATTATTTCAATACATTTGTAATGGGACAAATCAGATGATTTGGCCCAAAATGTCACTGCGTATAACAAATTTTTCTATCAGGGAGTCTAAAAAAAATCCAGTAGCTTGTCAGTGACAATTTGTTTGAAAGAATGTTTGAAGGAAAGAAATATAGATATATTGAAAAAATATCGAATCTTTACTTATCTTTGGACGTTTCGGGACCGAATCTGCTCCCGTTCTCAACATAAAAATGCAAAATATTTCTCTTTGGAAGTTGCTGCTCATAGTTTGACACTTTCCAGTGTCATACTGATGTTGGCATATTAATGAGTAATTTCAGTCTACAAATGAGTTACAGGATGTTTTCATTAATTGATCTTGAATCTACCATTTTCATGAAAAGAGAAATATTTTGCATTTTTATTTTGAGAACGGGAGCAGATTCGGTCCCGAAACGTCCAAAGATAAGTAAAGATTCGATATTTTTTCAATATATCTATATTTCTTTCCTTCAAACATTTTTTCAAACAAATTGTCACTGACAAGCTACTGGATTTTTCTTTTCGACTCCCTGATAGAAAAATTTGTTAAACGCAGTGACATTTTGGGGCAAATAATACGAATATTTTTATTTTATAGAAACGATGAGAAAATCCCAAAAATATCAAATGGAATGACTGCTATTAGATTGAAAATGTCTTCAACACACACAATCATATTTCGTCAGCATGTCAGACCAGTCCTCCCGTTTGATTGCATGAATCCAATCTTCTTGCATTATTTCAGAAATTTCATGTGTATTTCTATTAGCTCCTATTGCACAAGGATTCCCGATGAGAAATCAGAGAAATTACCAAATTTCAAAAATGAAAACTATATGTGAGTGACTATTGAAGGTACTTACTTTTAAATTATAATGTACCAACCGGACTCCTTCGTCTTCCACTGTAGTTTTTGTGCATTGTACAACAGCACAATGTGATGGCATGAGCGAATTAATGAATATGCCAAAATATTTGTGAAAAACTATTTCAATCACTTGTAAACACATAAGAAAAGTGAGATTGTGTTTCAATGTTGTGCCTCCAGGGTCGGTCATCTGACAGTTCTTGCACGCAACCCATACCGGCTGTAACCGCGAAATGGACACTCACCTTGTCGCTGCGGTTTTGCGTGGGAGAAGAACTATACTTCCGCATCGTACTGGGCGACGTGGGAGTAGAGGTCGACAATGGCGGCGACTCGGTGGCTTTTATGCTGACCGTCACCGGTTTCGTCAAAGGGTCCTGCTTGAAAGGAACTTTGTCGGGCGGGCCCATCGGACTGTCGTCGTGCTTTTTCCGCTTCTTCTTCTCCAGCCTGCGAAAGATCAAGGAGCACCGCCGATGACGAAAAAGCAGAAAATGAAAATGCTGTTTTAGATAGATAGATAGATTTATTCTTCCATCAAATTTACATTTTTGGAAACGTCATAATTCATGATTTGAAAAAGACATGCCCTGATCCAGAAGGTTCGATTACTAAAGACATATTTTGGCTACACCAATATCAAAATTCATCAATGCATCTTTCATAAAAGAAAGTTTCCCACACGAATTGAAACATGCATCAGTAGAAGCTATTTACAGAAATGGAGATGCTCAGGATCCAACTAACTATGGACCAATAGCTTTAATTAGCATATTTTCTAAAATTTTTGAAAAAATTCTCAAGAAACGCATTGTAGAATTCATTAACAAAAAATATAGCTTTGATTCTAATCAATTTGGTATTCAAGAGAACACAAGCAGCAGTATTACAAGTGATAGAATCAATTCTGAGAGGACTTTATTCAGGAAATTATGTGGTAAAAGGCTTTCACGCTGGATTGATAGTTGCACAATACTTGGTAACAATGTCGTGCCAAAACTGCACATCGAAAAATACTAGTAACTTACAACTCTTGTTATCTAATTCATAATTTCCAATGTAAGTAGATGCATCACTATTTATTTTCCCACGAAATAAAATCAATTGATCGAATTTCTATTTCATTTCACCAATTTATAGTAATTGAAAATCATTCAAAACGATTAGATAACCTCAAAATTGAATTCCAAGTTTTTATTATTTTCACTCAGTAAATGTGAATACTAATCAGTTTTATTTAAAAAAATAATTCAAGACATGATTGTGTATTGGTAGAGGAATAAGTTATTTTTAATGTCAATATCTGTGATTATTTGTTGATGTTGTTATATAATGAATCATTCTTCAAGTTATTATTCTTTATAAGAATTTCATTATCATTAAATTTCATATTCAGTATATTGTTCAGGTGCATGCTTGATTAAATACAAATATTGAAGTTCATTTATCAACTTCGAGTGCTGATTTTGAAACATAAATGGACGGCTTTTGAGTTGGTTCCAAAAAACATTATAACGTCCGACGATCGTAACACTAATCCATATTCGGGCGGTTGGTCATTCAGTCATTTCCTTTCAACTGGCAACACTGTATGTGTTGACAAATTGACGTCACTATCAACCCAGCGTGAAAGCCCTTTAGCTGTTTTCATTGATCTCAAAAAGGCTTTTGACACAGTTGATCATACAACACTTTTCGAAAACTTAGAAACAATGGGACTCAGATGCACTGTGAGAAATATTTTGAATTCATATCTCGAATATAGGACAATCAATACAAAATCAACCAACTCTGTGTCAAATAAACTATTAATTAATTAGGGTGCCCCACAAGACTCTGTTTTAGGACCTATACTATATTTACTTTATGTTCAAAATATCAATGAAATTGGTCTAGCGAGTAAATATACCATGTATGCAGAAGATACAGTACTTTTATATGAAGGCAAGAATCCTTCAAATTTAGAAAATATGATGAATGAGACTTGAAAATATTTGAAAAATGGCTCCAGAGAAGACGGAACACAGTACCTGTTTCTCTTCTATCTATCGAGTGAAGCAGTGGGGAACGAAATAATATGTTACTAAAGTGAGGGACACGCTCACTGTTCTCTCGACGGACTATTTTCCTCGATTAAAAAATAAGGCCCCTGAGGTAAAGCAGTGTCGAGCGCGGTTAGTACTTGGATGGGTGACCATTCGCGTAAACCCCGCTTAAACCCGCACATCTGTAGCGAAATAGCATAGCATAGCTACAGCTAGAGTTCCTAAATGTACTTGACACTGCTATTTTGACGTTTTTTGTATATTAGAGTACGGACACTATGACAAGCACTGAATTGATGGAAAAAGCAATGACGGCTAAATGGACTGTCTGACGAGTACTACATGACTGTCCAATCACTCAGTTCAGTGTATTCTCCACCAGAGGGGTTTACTTGCCGTCCTTTGCGGAGAAGTCATTTGTTTAGCTCTTATTCGGTTGTTTTCCAATAACATAGGTTATATTGAATTATTATTATTATCAAGTGTCAAAACTGTGTCACTTTCAGGTCCCTGATGTGTTCTGTTGAATATGGATAAATTCCTTTACTTTTTCGGATTTTCATTCAATCAAGCATTCTTCTTTGTGTTTAGTTCTGGTAGTTTATTTATTCAGGTTTGCTAGTTGTGTCTTCATCATGTATTTACAGCCTTCTAGCGTATGAAATGGAATGTATGAATAATCGTATCAAATATGGGGTTTGCTTTTTCGAATCTCATACCCAGTGATAAACTCCACAGCAAGAATGGCCGAATTTTATTTTGGATGGCATTGGTAAGAATATGATTTTTCATGTACACTTTTCTGATGATTTTCAATTTCAGCCTCGATTCCACCATTAGAACACTGGTGTTAATTCTGGTGTTGAAGTTTGTGTCAATGATTTTGGAAGACACTATAGAGTGATGATCAATAGCACTACATATGGCGACTTCAGGATGGGGACATACATTCAGAAAGGATCGCTTACCATAATTTTCAAGGTATGTTTTCTGCATTGTTGTTGCATAGCTATAGGTAGGGTAGGAGTAGGATTGTTGAAAACTGTTTCATGTGGTTCAAGCCATCAATGCAACGTATTCAAACTTAAATTACCATATACCTACAGGACGGGCATCCCAAAAAGCAACACCACGAATGAAAGAGGAATGGAATTTAAGGTATGCTCTTTGAATCCCAGAGAATCATCAGTCTTGGCCAACATCTGGAGTTTTTTCGAGTGCCACAACTACAATTTGAGGTATTTTGTGTCAGACAGTCCATTTAGCCGTCATTGGTAAAAAGCGGGAACTGATAGTACACGGACGTACATGACATAAATTTCGAAGGTTTGACAAATTGAGAGAATTAGGAGAAAGATGTAAGCGAGATAATGCAAGTTTGTGCAGTTTCCAACTGTGAGAACACGGGAAATCAATTCACTCTATTCGAATTTCCATCGGATAACGTAATTCTACAAAGATGGAAACAGAATATGATGCGGCCGGCATGGAATATAGGTTCAGGCCACAAAATTTGCGAGGTATTCAAATTTCTTGGTAGGATATAGAACATTTTTCAACGCATTCTTCTTCAGAATGCAAGATTTGATGTTGAAGAATAGGATCGTATTGAGAGAAAGAGCCTAACACACAATTTATAAACTGAGCGAGTATCGAAAAGAAGCTCATTCCAATTTAAAACCAACAAGAAACGAAGAACTTGCAGATAATGAAATTCATTTTGAACATATTTTGAAAGAAAAAGACTTGAGGACCGAATTTTTAGAGCAGGAATATTGAAAAATCCAAGGTTTATGAGTCAAAGAGAGTGAGGAATTCAGGAAACAAGTAGAAGTAAGAAATAGAGAGTTGGAATATAAGTTAAAGCAAAAAGATTCAGATACAAGAGTCAAACATCCGTTGTTTGAAAAGTATCTAATTTCAGAAAATGTTGCGATTTGGAGTTCTCTCATGTGGAGACATTAAAAAACCATCAACAAAAATGTTGTTGTATTAATCAAATTGGCTAATTTCACTGGAGCTGTTTTAATGGGTCGAAGAAAACCTGGTTGACAATTCGGATTTTGTTGCCCTCAAAAAATAATTATTTATTATACAAGGGAAAAAAGAAGTAGACCTTAGCTCCAGGTTGTGTTGTCTCCCGACGCGTAGCGGAGGGAGACAAAAACCGTGAGCTAAAATCTAATATTGTTCCCGTGTATAATACACTATTTTTTTCTGTGACAAAAGAAAGGACGAATCAATATTGGGAAGATATTACATTATTTTGAAATCTGAAAATTATCGACGAGAAATTTCAAGTTTTAAAAGTAGGGACACCTGCGTTGTAGGCATTTCTCGGAACTATAGCACAACAAAAGCCACCAACAGTATACAGTGTGCCCATTTAGTGCGTAATTCTTCGATATCTCGAAAGCCATAACCTATAGAGAAAAACTTTGGAGAAAAAACTTTTTCAGTTACTGAAGTTGCTCATTTCAAGATTATTTTCAACATTACTGGGTGTTTTATAAAAGCAGGGCAACTCGAAGAAGAGTATTTTTAAATGGAACACCCAGTATTGTTCATTCGGAAATAATTCCGTCGAGGTTAACCTTCACATCGCTGTAAAAAAAATTGGAATCGGTTGCGGCGTTGCCAAGTTATAATTAATAAATCTATTTCTACCATTATTGAAGAGTCATGTTGAATTCATTTATTCAGATTTTAAAAATATTTTTGGCATACGGTAGGAGCAAGGTCCAACGTTTACCAATCCAGTAATTTTGCGACATGTTCTTCAACAGGGTGCTCAATTTTGTATTTAGAATTTTGCAAGATTCAGATGACATTCATCAGAATTTTTCAAATGGAACACCCTGTATTTTTATTCAAAAATTCATTTCGACATCTTCCGCCTTCTTATCGCTGGAAAACAAATCGGAATCGGTTGCGGCGTTGTCAAGTTATGGTTGATTTCCTTATTTTCACTAATAATTCGGGGTAATTTGTACATTATAGTTCTTTCATTTATTTGTATTGTGGAAATATTGCGTTGCTACGGTATAATCAAATTTGTTCATTGACCATTCATATATTTTTTTTACAAAAGGAACATTTACAGGCTCTCCAAGTTTGAATTTTGTTCGAAATATTTGTGTAATGACCTGTCAAACATCGCTACAATCAAATATATCTTGGATTGATTCGACATTATGCTGAATTTCCTCCCAAAAGCTGCGTAGTAAAGACATATTGTTTGTATCATTATGTTTACCTTCTTCAAGGTAAATGGAGATTTGGATTGTGGGAATTACGACAATAAAAAATGGTCCAAATTTTTAAAAAATTTCCTAATTTTCGCAATACGCATCTTCATTGTTTGTATTGTAGAAGTTATTTCAAAGACAGGCGTTGCTTTTGGCATGTTTGTTTGTTTCACATATTATTTGAATCATGAGTAGCAAGATTACGGAATATTCCAAATTTGGACGATGCACATATCACAAAAATACCTGAATGATCTATGTAAAACCTCGAATATCATGTGGCAAGCAATATTCCCACACTCAAATCAAATTAAGGAACCATCAGGACGAACAAATTACCCCGAAATAGTAGTAAAAATAAGGAAATTACTCACAACTTGAAAACACCGCAACCGATTTCAATTTTTTCTTCTGTGATGAAAAGGCAATGATGTCGAAATAAATCCGTGATGAAAAATACAGGGTGTTTCATTTGAAAATTTCTTACGATCGTCGTCTAAATCTTACAATATTCAGAATGTAAATGTTAGCACCCTGTAGAGGATTATCTCGCAAGATTACTGGATTGGTATACGTGAGACCTTGCTACTACTGTATGCCAAAAATATTTTCGAAATTTCAATAAATAAATATACCATACCCAATTGAACATGACCCTTCAATAGTAGTAAAAATGGGTTTATCAATTATAACTTGGCAACGCCGCAACCAAATTCAATTTTTTTACAGCGATGTAGAGCTGAACTTGAGCGGAATAAATTTGGAATGAACAATACTCGGTGTTCCATTTGAAAAAACTCGTCTTCGAGTTGCCCCGCTTTCATGAAACACCCAGTATCGTTGGAAATATTTTCGAAATGAGCAACTTTAGTAACTGAATAAGTTTTTTCCCCAAAGTTTTTCTCTTGTGATAATTGATCTCGAGATATCGAAGAATTACGCACTAAATGGACACACTGTATATATGTGATATTTATCCGGGAAAAAATACTCATTTTTTCCCACGGAAAAAAAATAATTAATGAAAAGTGACATTTCATAACCTGCCAACAGAGATGAAATGCAAAACTTTTTTCCCGTCACACAAAAATGCTTTTTTTCGCAGGCAATTAGTTTCGTTCAACACCCAGGCAACAAAATTCTCAGTGATACATGTCAAGTTTACTTGGACAAAAAAAGCTCTAGTGCAATTAAAAGTGACTAAATGACGCGAACATTCGGTATGAACATCCACCAACCTGTTCTTATCCTCCCTGTTGCTTTTGCTCTTCTTCTCCTTCGGCTTCTCCTCCACAGGCTTACTAACAATCGGAGTGATGGTGATAGAATTAGGCACCGAAATCTTCTCCACCTTTTCATTTTCCTTCGCAAACCCCACCGTGGGATTCGCCGGTACAGGCGTGATGCTGACATGCGCAGGCGTCACTTTCTCGTTAATCTCGCCCAATGGCGACTTGTCCGAATCCAAATCGTCCAGATTGTCGAACCCAGCGTCGGATTTATCCGAGGAACCCAACAGTTCTATGGGGTCCAGGACAGACAACTCCAGGTCGGTGTGAAACCCCAAAAGCGAGTTGGGAGTTCGGATTTCGGTGTCTTGGGATGATAGGGGGGTGCTTCTGGAAGTGGAATCGCAGCTGGACGATTCCACTAGGTCCGAGTCTTCTGTTCCCGCCTTCCTCTTGCCAATTTTCCATGCGTCTTCGTTCAGTTTGCGTTTTTGACGTTTGTTTAATTTGTCAGAAGCGTCTGAGGAAGAATGAGAAGGAAATTGAAGGCGGATTCATGCAACATTCATTAAAATTGCGTTTCTACTACATTATGATGGGCGAGTGAACTGATATGTTAACTATGTTTCTTTATATTAGGCTTGCCTATTTGGAAATAAAGTTCTTCTTCAAACAAATTTTTTGCAGGCCTCCAAAGTGACCACAACTCGACGGGTTAATCTCGCGGGGACTGCCAAAGGAGGAACAATTGTTGATATTTCAGAAGAGGCATCGTCCATGGAAATATCTATAAAATAGAGCAAGATCGCCAACTTTTCTACGGTGTTCCAGAGAAGTGAATGAGTTCGTGAGCGAGGCATCACCCACGAGACGAATTGCCCTTTTTTGGACAGAATCCAACAGTTTCTGGGTATGTTTGGGTGCTGCATTCCAAATATGATTACAGTATTCCAGGATCTGTGCCTTATAGATCATTAGCAGCTGGCTGGAAGTGAAATAGCTCCTGGCCCGAAACAGAAAACCAAGTTTATGGGATGCACTTTTCGCAATTGATTTCACGTGATTTTATCAAGGAAGGTTATTGCTGATACCAAGCATTGAAATGGATGTCTTCAAAGGTATGGTTACTCCTGACAAGCTTATGTTGGGCACAGTAAGATCGGTTTTTCTAAAGAAAAGGCATGCTTGTGTTTTGTTTACATTGAGTTATTGGATCCCCATTCTAGAATTGTTGCCAAGTCCATATTTATGTTGTCAACATTTCTCCCTGGTTCGTTTCTGATTTGCCTGGCTGGAATTGGAGCCCTGGAAGAGAATGCGGTATGGAGGGTACTATCATCCGTGAAGCTGTGTACTGGACATGACGTTGCTCCCAACAAATCGTTGATATGGAGTAGAAATATTGTTGGTGCTAGAATTGATCCTTGCGGAACACCAGCATTTATGATAAGAGAGTCAGATGAAACTCCGTCGACCACTACATGGAGAGACCTGTTTGAGAGAAAACTAGCTAGCAGAGAACATAGCTGGGGAGGCAAGCCATAAGATGGAATCTTGAAAAATAATAATAATAATATACTATTGTGACGAATAGGGTTCTTTTCCTTAATTTCATTCAAATTCATAGAAGGTTCGAAGTCATTGAACGGTCACGTCTTTGTTTATTAATTTCAAAATTTTCGAATCGTGAACGAACTTTTTTTCATAGTAGTTGAACATAAACACAGGCGGGACATTGACTTGAACGAACCTGGACTATCGACCTGATTTCCTTACTGTCACGTTTCCGAAAATATAGACGACTATTTAAAAGACGTAAGGAAGCGGGTTCGACAGTGCGACTACCAGTTCGAGTTCTAGTCTTGTTTTTTGAGTACGAGTTAGGGAAGTCTAGGATCTACCGATTGTGAGTTTGTAAAGTTGCCACTGTGCCCGAATCTTCGGAGTTTGGGCAGAACAGAAGATGCCCTTCCTCACAGAAATATTAGTTTATGTAAGTTAAGTTTTTATTAATTGTTAATCATAAATCAAAGAATAAATGTTCGAATACCTTTTTGAGTATTATTCGTCATTATCACCTTTGAAGTTCATTCTCTAATGGATCTAGAACACAACTTAGGCAACCCCCGCCTACAGTTTGTGACACTATTTTCCATAAAGAATCTACCCACCCCGTTACAATGTTATATGCAGTTCAAGTACAAAAAAAAAGAAGACGAGATGATTCGTACCTGTGAGCATGTTATTAAGCTCCATATTGGCCAGCACCCCATCGGAAGGCGGGAACCGCTGAAAATTCTGCTGCATCATCGCATCGTCGAGCGAATGCGCCCCTTCGCCGTTGTTCGGTTCCTGCTTCATCGTGCCCTTGTCCGGGCCGCCGAAGCGCGGGTTGGGCGGCTCTTTGGGGCCGCCCGGGTCGCCCTGGCCGAGGGGCAGGCTGAAATTTTCCGGGCCGCCGTAGTGGGTCCTCCGAGCCGACTGAGAAAGTTTCAGATCAAGACAAATCAGTTTGTTGAAAAATCCCGCCTGCTCAGTTGCTAAATATGATCAGTTCACAAATCTATGAATGTGTTTCGTCATTAGTTCTGCAGACATCGTAGTGAACAGTTGGTAAATTATTCCTAGGTTATATTCATACCCCACGCAGTAGAAAGTTAAAAACTTCCATATCTGAATTTGTCCATATAATCGTGACTGTACAAATGGAAATTCAATATTCTAATCCGCGTTCGCTTACCGGTCGTGGGTTCGATCCCCAGCGACTGCAGACATTTTTCTGATGGCCCAAGAAAGTGTTTGGGATCACAAGTTAAAAGGTAAGGCCCCAGTCATTCCTTGCTCGCACAAGACTCTCGAAGACGGATAGAACAATTTTAGATAGAAGGATGTTTATATTGTCAACAAAAAAAAAGTTGCGATTGGAGCTAGTATGCAATGAATGCTATAAACATATATGTTTCTTGGGAATAATAAAGATTATTATTAATAAGACACGTGTCAGGTTAATTATTCGTTCATTAAAATTCATTATTTATTTCAACTATTTCATAAAATAACGTGTCTTCTGTAATTATAATTGTTGAAAATGAAACAATTTCTCATTGTACAATACTTTCTTTTCGCATCGAAGTTTTGAAATGCAATAAAAGGAAATAGGGTAGTTTACTACTCCACGACGTACGACTATGTTTTTATTTGCGCGATCCCTCGCGATTTGAAATACATAGTATTTGTGCAAGTCAAAACACAATACATTTGAAATGCTTCATTAACTTATATATTAATTGAAATAGATAATTGAAATTCAAGAATGCCGATAAAGGAGAACCCTCCAATATTATGTCAACCAAGTTTTCTCCTACCGGATGCTATTGACTTTGAGCCAAGTCAAAAATTCCTTATCACTGTAGAAATCATGATTCAGGATATTTTTTCTGAAATTCATAATCATGAAACTAGACAATATAACTTGTTTCATCTTGACGCCGCTAGCTCCATAATCGGACAAAAAAGATTCACTCATTCAGCCTTAACTGAATTCAATAAACTACCTGGCAATATAAAAGATTGCAGAAATATAGGTACATTCAAAAATGAAGTAAAAAACTGATTATTTCTGAGCGAAGTGGATAAAAGGACCCCGCACCGCATCAATGGGAAATTGGCTTTCGGTGAATTTACTCGAATTTTTTATATATTGTAGAACTCGTGGTGCTGATCAAATGTCTCCATTGCACCAACGCTCTAAAATCAACAGTTACGATTATATAGGGTGATAAAGTTTACTTTTGAAGAATTTAAGATAGACATTATGAAGACACCTTTCATAATTTCGAAACCAAATCAACTGTGCATTGATTGTTCGAATGACCGATACGAATCTACTATAAACTATAATGATTCCTGCACGTACCAACAATATACAGGGTTGGTCGGAACATAGCGAATAATTCAGTGATTTTCTGAAAAGTGTGCGGTGGAATTTCATTTAAATTCTGTTGTATACAAATATCATCCCCATTTCGTGATATGAGCATCTCCTAATCATATATATTATATACAAGATGTTTTATTTTTGATGAAGTCACATCCATGTTAGGTACTTATTATTGGCATCCTCAATATGACTTACAACTTGAACAACCTATGATGAATGTCCACTCTGCAAATCCGTGAAATATACAGAGTGGATGAAAAATCAATGGTCTTTGCTAATAACTTCTCAAGAGTAGTATGTGCAGATTCTTGTGACCCATTTTATTGACCCTGTTTCATAACGACATTATAATCAATAAAACTAATTTGAACCATTCGATGCAGTATATTTTTAATAACATGTTAGATCCATGAATTCGAGATGTGGAAGTCCCCCTTGGTCTCGCCTTTCAATAGCGATTTATTCTCGCTTCATTTCATCTGGTTATCCCTCAAGTAGTACCATATTTTGTATATTGAATGCTGAATGACACGTAAAACAATTCAATCGGCGACGATTAGCCATTTTTCAAATAATTATTACTTTGGCTTCTATATGAACTTGACAGATGCAATAGTTGCAAATGACAATGTTAAACAGATGAATATAGTTGCTATGTGCCTGCCATATTACATTATTTGAACCAGAGCAATCTTAACATGATCAAGATGAACATGGAGTCCATCATGAGAAGAGATCACCGTAATTGAATGAAATCAAAGATTCATTCGGCATTTGTAAAAAGTCATCATTCGTCCTCACTCAATATTCTATTATTTTATATTACCATGATTTCATGATGATATGTGTGTATGTTTCCAACTGATTTATATATTCATTTGTTAAATACTGTCTGTAGGTTAATTGAGGAGGTGAAATATTCATCATTATACTGGTGAATTTTTGTTTTAGGCTCTTTGATAGTGACATCTTTGGGGCAAATCATCTGATTTGTCCTTACTAGACGTATATTGAAATGATACTAATATTTTTATTTTATAGAAACGAGGTGAGAAAATCCCAAAGAATCTGGAATAATTTATATATTTATGTTTATTGAAACTAATATAGCTGCTTCTATAATATCTTTATTGAGTACGTTATGAACTCGGCTATAAAGTCAGGAGTACTTTTCAAATATAATAACTATGCCATCGTGTTGATTTTCATACTTCCTTATAAACCAACCAGATAGTATTGTTTATTGTTACATTAGGTATGTATTTCCGAGTATTTCAGATAGTTGGGTTCATCTTTATATGTATTTTTGTATGTATGTCTGTTTGACTCAAGAGACGCCAATGTATGATTAGCCAATTTGATGTTAGAAAAGGCTATCAGAGTCAATTTAGTATAAGCCACGATATAGAAGCAGAAAACCTACCAGGTGAAATTGGCAGGATCTCATATGAAAGATGTATATGATATCACGATGAAAATCAATTTCAATTCAAATACGAACGCTCATGGATGCTCACGAATGAGAATTCACTCAAGCTTCCGTAATTCCAAGAAATAACAATAAATTGTGGATCGCATTCAATGCCGGAAGACATTGACATGATGACACCTAATGAAAAAACGAATACATGAAATTAGTCATTCATAATATATTGTTTACTACTTTAATTTTGTTTTAACTGTTATGTTTACTTTACTTCAGCAGTGTTTGAGGGTTGAGGTATTCTAGAATTAAGTATGACGAGTTGTATTCAGGAGACTGTTCAAGAAGTTGAATAAATTCAACTTTTTCATTTCGTGAAACGAATTCGTTTTATGAATTAGTGATCCAGGAAATATAATCGCTTGTCATAACACGGAAGTAAAATACTATGTAAGGTACAGAACTTTTGTTGTGATTGAATATCAGAATATTTTGTTATCCATAATAACTGTATATTCATTGTTCTTGTTTCCTATTGTTGATTGTTTCACTATCACCTGAAAAACCTATGATACCTGCATATTATCAAAAATATACTACATCGAATGGTTCAAATTATTTTCATTGAATATAATGTCGTTATGAAACAGGGTCAATAAAATGGGCCAAAAGAATCTGCACATACTACTCTTGAGAAATTATTAGCAAAGACCATTGATTTTTCGTCCACTCCGCATATTTAAAGTATTTGCAGGGTGAACATTCATCATGGAATGAATGAGATTCCCAATAGATTGTTCAAGTTGTAAGTCATAATGAGGATGCCAATAATAGTTACCTAACATGGATGTGATTTTATCAAAAATAAAACATCTTGTATATAATATGTCTGATTAGGAGATGCTAATATCACGAAATGATGATGATATTTGTATACTACAGAATTTAAATGAGAATCCACCGCACACTTTTCCGAAAATCACTGAATTATTCGCCATGTTCCGACCAACCCTGTATAATGTTGGTACGTGCAGGAATCATTATAGTTTATAGTAGATTCGTATCGGTCATTCGAACAATCAATGCACAGTTGATTTGGTTTCAAAATTATGAAAGGTGTCTTCACAATTACTATCTAAAATTCTGGAAAAGTCAACAACAAGTCAACAATATATCAAAAATTCGAGTAAATTCACCGAAAGCCAATTTTCCATTGATGTGGTGCGGGGTCCTTTATCATGCCATTTTTTTTATACAAATATTATTCCTTGTTTGCCAATTTACAGTTGTTGATATATTTCAAATGATGATATGTTTACCTATAGGTATATAATTATGTACTTCCTTATACCAGAGCCTATTCTGTCTGGAAGATATTTGTTCAATAAATAAATAAATAAAATAATGTTTTTATGGGTAAGGAATCACAAGAATAAAAAATTGTAATGAAAACCCATGCATCCCTGAAAAGGAGTATTGTGAGGAAGTGGGAATCATTGGAATGAACATTATTTATGTGAGAATATAGCCGTGAAGAGCCCCCTCGCCGTTGTTCGGCTCCTGCTTCATCGTGCCCTTGTCAGGGCCGCCAAAGCGCGGGTTGGGCGGCTCTTTGGGGCCGCCCGGGTCGCCCTGGCCGAGGGGCAGGCTGGGCGACCGGGCCGCCGTAGTGGGTCCTCCGAGCCGACTGAGAAAGTTTCAGATCAAGACAAATCAGTTTAATCATTCGAAGAAGTCCATGATAACTCAAAGTGGAGTGGTGTAGTTCATCATCATGTAGTCATCTCCACAACATTTATCAGAATGATCAAACATCAATCTTAAAGGAACATGTTTCGGGCTCATATAAGCCCATCATCAGCCAATAGAAAATATCATAGTTCTAGAAAAATCAGTGTTGACTCAGGATATAGATAGATGCAAGAATTAATTAGAACTTACATGGAAATGCAAGAAGTTGACAAACAAATAGTATAGTTGATAACAGTGCAAACAAGGAAATATGCTCCATGATCTGAAAAACAATTGATTCAGAATATTGAGAGAAAAAGTGAAGAAACCTGAAAAACTTACTGTCACTGTAAAATGATATAAAATTATGTTATAAATTTATTTCAATATGAATTTATTATTTTTTTCTATGACGGGAAAAAAGTTTGGCATTTCATCTCTGTTGGCAGGTTATAAAATGTCACTTTTAATAAATTACTTTTCCCGTGGGAAAAAAGTGAGTACTTTTTTCCCAGATATATATCACATATATATATACACTGTTGATGGCTTTTGTTGTGCTATAGTTCCGAAAAATGAGTCAATAATACAGTCTCCGAGAAAGAACTGCAAGTTCTCTTATCTTTCATTCGACTTCGCGGTTATGTATATTACGAAACAACCACTAAATTCGCAATTTTTTGAAATCAAATCACAGAATTAGACTGACCGAAGTGACAAAAGATATTTGATTACTTGAAAAGAATGATAAAGATGCCTACACCGCAGGTGACCCTACTGTTAAAAACTTAAAATTTCACATCGATAATTTTCAGATTTCAAAATAATGTAATTTCTTCTCAATATTGATCCGCCCTTTCTTCTGTCACAGAAAAGAATAGTGTATTATACACGGGAAAAATATTAGAATTTGGCTCACGGTTTTTTGTCTCCCTCCGCTACGCGTCGGGATACAACACAGCATGAAGCTAAAATCTACTACTTTTTTTCCTCGTATATGGATAACTATTATTTGCTAGAATATCACAAGGAAACACTCCTTGAATTTTTTCGGTGTTATTCAGATAGATGTCCTGCAAAAAATACATTAAATACACACAGACTATCAATAGAAATTACCTGTTTTTCCCATAACTTGATGACGGAACGCAACGTAATAGGCAGCGAAAAGGACTTGTTGAGTATTTTCGTGCTCAGGTCCGAAGCAGCGTCGGGAGCACTGATTGGAGGAGGCGTACCGGGATTGGTCACGCGACACGCGAGGTTGGAAATGTCGGACAGGTCTATTTCCGCCGTCGCCATGCTCTCTTCTACAGGGTGTTCGAGAGAGATGGAGATGTGCGTGGAGGAGAGAGCGCTCACTTCGAACATGGTCATGTTCTCGAAATCTGAAATGATCGTTGAATTTTTTGCATTGCCTCAGGGTTGGCCGATATACAGGCTGATTTTAAAATAAGTGCATATATTTTGAACACTAAGAAAGCTTGAGGTATACTACCGAATAGCACTATTAAAAATATTATTAGGATCAAAATAGATTGAGGGCAAAATACCCTTTTTCCGCCCAGATTTCTACTTCTGTCACAACTATCGTTTGCGATCCGCAGTCGACCGTGATGAACGAAGCGACGTTGCCACTCTACATGAAAATTAGGAGATATTAAATAAAATGTATAATCGACAAAATGTACATGGGGAAGAAGTTAACCCTGGTCTTGAATTTCAGAAAGATAATACAAAAACTTTAAAATGGACTCACCCAAGATTTCTACACATAAGCTCGAATAGCGTATAACTTAACACCTCACGGTTGAAAGTTCTTTTACTGAAAAATCCTTTAGACCCTTCCTTCCACCTCCTTGCATCGCTACAATTTCGTGTCCTTCGAGGAGTCTCATGGGCCCCGCACAATAACGACCCGACATAAGAACCATATTATTATCATTCAGCTCAATGTTTGAGAATGCATCGTCACATTCCAAGCAAATTGTCAGAAACAAAACTTTACATTTACTAGTATCACGTTTTGACGTTTTCCAAAATAACATACATTCTCAGAACAACAAACTGTCAAGAAAGGATCTTTGTTTTGATTGTTCTTATGGTGTGCTACCAGCAAGAATTCAGATGACCATGAATTACTAATAGGCGACTTTTACGGACCAATCAGAAACAGCAAAATAGTGCCTGCGGGTTGCGATTCATCCTGATTGGGCACAGGTGATTGAGATTAATGTATTAGTGAGGAAGGATCATATCTTTAAATGAAACTACCATTTTCATACAAAACTAATTTGGAAAAAAACATCTATTAGTTTAATTCAATGAAATGATACTTCTTCACTATACACTAATCTCAAAAATCCAATCAGCTGTGTCCAATCAGGATGAATCGCAACCACGCAGGCGCTACTTTGCTGTTTCTGATTGGTCCGTAGAAATCGCCTATTAGTCATTCATGGTCATCTGAATTCTTGCGTCCGAAACGGTCAGAAGCATGCGCAGTTTCACAGAACTGTGTGATTTATTTGGGTTCTGTGGACTTGTGCATGCTTCTGACGGTTTCGGATTGTTTATTTTCTGAACGCGAACAATCCTAGTTAGTACTGTCAAAGGTCACAGCAAAGAGGAAATCTATGGTCACAGATAGTACTGTTCAGAGAAATGATGTTGACAGATCATATGATAATAGTTTTGTGTGTGTGTGGTTGCTGGTTTGTAAAATAATTGTAAACGTAAAATGAAAAATAAAATAATTGGATGTTGTGTCTTGTCTCGTGATAATCGTGATATGGTCGTGATCGTGGTTTTCAATGTGAGATTGCCAGGAAGGATATGTCGTCGTCGAGTCGTTTTTGATGGTTTAAGTGCGAATATGAACCAACAAGAACACAGGACGATATTAGTCTGGAATGGACTCGATATTAGTATTTGTTTGCTCTCGGGAGTTTTGCTGTTCGAGCAGGTATGAGAAAATCTACTAGGTGAGTCGATTTTCAACTTTGTGTATGTTGTGTACCTATTTATTTTCTGCTAATTTTGTATCTACCCGCTGGGGCCTTATTTTCGAATTGAAGGAAGGGGGACGTTCTATCATTCCCCTCATGTTTCTCTCCGTCTCTCGTGATCCATGGAGATAATCACCCCACAGTTCTCTCAGTAAACTATAAAAAATAAGGCTCCTGTACATATTACATTCACCTCTATTAGTTTCCAAAACCTATTCCAATTCATATTCATTCTGTGACAAATTTTTATCAGGATATTCGTCTCTGAAACAATCTGGCTTCACTGTCTTGTTTTGACGTTAGTGAATGACGAATTGGGGATTCCCTGGGATTCCGCAGATTTCACTTGCTTCCCAGTGGCGTACTCGAATTTCGAAACATTTTATGTTCAATTTTCAAAATGAAATTTCTCGTTAATGTGAAGACTTAGGAAAAATCAAATATTTTAGTAATTTTTGTTAGACTCTCTCATATATATGTCTTGAATATATGCACTCATTTTAAAATCAGCCTGTATATCAAGTGATATACACAGGGTGGCATAGAAAAAAGTACATTGCATATTGCCACACAATAGAGGACGGTAAAATAAGGAAAAGAGTTCCTATAAACATGGGTCTACAAGGCCTTTGGTTAAAAGAGACGGTATGTGACACCCCAAGTGAATTGGATTGCCGATATTTTGGAAATTACGTGGACCACCGTTGCCGCTTCTTGTATGGAATGGCAGATTTGTTATACCGAAGCTACCTGGCGTGAGCGGTGTAAGAATTTGTCAAAATACATTTTATTGTACAAATTATGTCGATTGGGGTATCTTATAATTCACCCCCACCACACTGCTCACCCATTCAATTATATTATTATTTTGTTACAGAAATGGGGTGTTGGATTGGTCTCCATCGCAAAGTACTGAAATAGTAAAAACTGAAGAATCAAATAAATCGTCGTATGCATACCTTGCTTGCTGTTTGGCCTCACGCAACTACTGATGATGGAATTGAATAGAGCTTGTTCCCTCAAAATCATAAGGATGCTCGATACGTGCGCCGGATGAGTGAACGGGATGCTGTTCACCAACACCCCGTTCATATTTTTATTTTCGGTCATGAAATAACAATGATTTTGGTCTGGCAGTGTCTGGAACAATAGATTTCTCTGCATCAAAATTTGTTTCCATTGGACTTTCAAGTAATTTCCAGAAAATATGTATCTTGAAATAAACTAGGAAGAGACATCCGAGTCCAGTAGTAGAATTAAGATGAAAGGAATAATGAGGGAACTGTTTTGATAGCCCTTCGTTGATTTGTTGTTTCGTCTTTCATCAAGTGTTGCCTATCTTTTGCACTTTTTCACCGTACTGATGAGGGCCAATAATCTCTTCCTAGTTTGGTCCCTCAATATTCCTCCTATCTTAAAATATACAGTGTGATCCATTTCTAATTGAAATTGAAGTTGTAAACCGATTTGAATAGTTTTTTTTAAATGTCAAGTACTTAAAGGTCTACCTTGGGACATAATTTGAAATGTTTATACCAATTTTCAGGGCATACTACGATATTTTTTTTTAGTCGAAAATCGGGATATTTTGATAGCGATTTTTTATTGAAAAATCACTACGCCACTGGATTCAGAGTACCTCTAAACAGGTGTGACGATTTCATGAAAAAATATTCATTATCAACAGAGTTATGACAACTCAAAAATTCGAAAACTCACACAGCTAACAGTCACAAAAAACACCCTATATCAACAGATATAGCCATGAGAATATTTTTTTTTCATGATTTCAACAATAACGTGGCACCAGATGAAAAAAAAATTTGATAGCGTAAATTCTTTCGATTTAATTTGCGTGAAAACTTGAATGTAATTCCGTTATTTTCATTAAAACAGTATTTCTATTAGCTCCTATTGCAAAAGGAACTTCGATGAGAAATCAGAGAAATTACCAAATTTCAAAATGAAAACTATATGTGAGTGACTATAGTAGGTACTTACTTTTGAATCATAATGTACTCACCGGATTCCTTCGTCTCTCGCTGCATTTTTTGTGCATTGTACAACAGCAAAATGTGATGGTATGCGAGAATCGATGGAGATCCGAAAAACACGATTCGTATGCCGAAATAATTGTGAAAAACAATTTCAATCATTCGTGAACAAATAAGAAAAGTGAGGTTGTGTTTTAATATTTCACCCCCAGGGTTGGTCATCTGACAGTTCATGCACGCAACCAATGGTTATGATTGATTTGACAGAAAATATAACCTCTAAAATCGTATCTGACAATCAGGCGCTATTAGAGAAATTGAAAAGACAAAAAGCAGAATATATGTCTTTTTCTTCTATTCACTCAAGCATTATTATTTAGAAAAAAGAACTGAAAAATTTCCAGGAAAAATATAAAAAGTTGAAAGTGAATTCGGCATCCTGATTCCGAATCTGAAGTGATTTTCGATCTATTTTGACTGCTAATATCATTTTCCGGAAATTGGAGTGGTTCCATGGCTGTTAGCGAGCAGTGTATATCACTGAAGATGCCCCCACTTGGTCATAGAGTGCATTTTCGGAATATCTCTCGCTCCAGCAAATTTCAGGATCCTTACCCAACGATTACATAAGATACATGGGTGTTTTCATTAAAAGTGGGTCACACTGTATATGATGATATTACTTGAGTAATCATGATAACAAAAATGTATTGTTGGTTGCATACGAATATGGTCATGTGGTGTTCATTCATTGATGAAGACCCGGTAGCGATTTTACTAAATATACTGTACGCTAGCACAAACCACGCCCACCGTAATATCTCATCTTCGAAGTACTTAGGCAAAACTCAGAGACTATTTATCCTTAACGAACTAACCTATCCCTGATTGCAATAGTTTTGAGGAAGGAAAACCAGAATATAGTGTAGAAACACATTGATTAATAATATATTTCAAAAGTCAAGTTCTTCAACAAAATTGAATAAAATGAGACTGTTTATCCTAAACGCACTAACCTATTTGACTTCAAATATTTTCTGAAAAAAGAGAACCAGAATGAAGTAAAAAAACATTGGTGAAAAAAAAAGTTGCAAAAAAAAGTTCGAGTTCACACCGATTCGAACCATGGACCTTCAGACTGAAAGTCGAAAGCGCTAACCATTAGACCATTTGGGTATATGAATTTACTGCGTACAAGAGATTGACAACAAGAGAGCTTCAGTCGAATTCGTGTCAAAATCATAAAAAGTGTATTCTTGCGTTGGAGCACAGTATATTTAGTGCGATGTGCTGACTCCGAGTATATCGGTAATGTCTGGAGATATGAGGTATTATGGTGGGCGTGGTTTGTGCTAGCGTGCAGTATATTTAGTAAAATCGCGGCCCGGTACCATTCAGTAACTCTAAGACTTACCACGAATAGTCCTTTATTGTTGCTGGACGTCATCTTTCCCTCACTGCAGTGCGTGACAATGAGATTGAGCAACGGTTGCACAGGCGCACTGTCGATTTCCGTCCAAGGGTGTATTTGTTGGATTTGTCTCACTAGGGAGAGAGACATAGGCAACGGTTTGTTCAATTTCAACATGAAACAAGCGGGCACGACTGCGCTATTTTGGCCGGTTAGAGGGGTGTACGAAGGGGTACTAGAAATAAATCAGTAATATCAAACGATAACGGTCGTATTTGTGACGATGTGACTATGTCTGAATATACCCACATATTGTAAGTAAATTACAATATTCGAGTGATGTATTCGTGAGACATTTTTAAATAAAATCTATATAAACTTATGTCCGGAAATCCTGCATTTCAAAGATACAGGGTGTTAAAATACAGAGAACAAATAATTTTTCGATGAACTTATCATGGGAAATTTTAATGATGTTAGCATCAAATTTCACTCCAAGTATGTCAAAAACAAATTATGTATTTCTTTCACATCAATCTTTTTGTATTGTAGAACTCTCAATTAGGCTGAAGATGGTCTTTTATAAGACCGAAACATGTTCCTTCTGATTGTGTAACAACAACATTAATCTGCTAGATCTCATAACTAAGAGATTTGGGATGAACGTGTGACTATACCGGGTGACACAGGAGACATGTAGCAGCCTGTAGTTTTTTATTTGGAGAGGTAAAATTTTGAAATTCACAGGGGGAATATGATAAATGGTAGCGCACTTTACGAACTTAACGACAATTTTTTTCAACCACCTGTTTGACCGGAAGTGACTCCAACTTTTTTTTTAAATGTCACCTTGTACCTTTCTTCAGTCTATCTTTTTCGCCTTGAAATTCTCTAGCCAACCATGTATCACAAAGTGGCATTTATTTCTCAATTCGCTGTTGAATTGCTTTTTATTCATAAAGAATAAGTTGGCTGTGACATGAATTCATATCGACACCTGCAATGCAATTTTAATCAACACACAAATGAAGAAGAAAAATTATTGATGCAATCGATTAACTGTCAAACACATAAAATATTTTGTGTAGGTACACCGCCTACTAAGTGAAATAATTATTAGAAAATAGACTAATAGCCCTGTGATCATCGTATAAGAGGAACAATTTTAGATTCATTATTCCAAATGGGAAGATCATGTGATAGGTACATGGCGAAAATAAAAAACAGATAGTTTCTGTACGAGTAGCTGAATTCAAAAAAGTATGTTCCTATCTTAGATTCCTCAATATCATGAGTTATTTTCGAAGGTTTTCATCTTGACTCAAACAAGCTATTGACAACCTGCAGACATTGATCAGAATATCAAAACATTTTGAATAATATCGGCTTACTAATGATATTTAAAATTCAAAAGTGTCGATATATCATTCATTTCATGTCACAGCCAACTTATTCTTTTTGAATAAAAAGCAATTCAACAGCGAATTAAGAAATAAATGCCACTTTGTGATACATGGTTGGATAGAAAATTTCAAGGCGAAAAAGATAGACTGAAGAAATGTACAGGGTGACGTTTAAAAAAAAAGTTGGGATCACTTCCGGTCAAACAGGTGGTTGACAAAAATTGTCGTTAAGTTCGTAAAGTGCGCTACCATTTATTATATACCCCCTGTGAATATCAAAATTTTGTCTCTTCAAATAAAAAAACTACAGGCTGCTACATGTCTCCTGTGTCACCCGGTATATGGCAGCACCATACAGTGTGTGTCGCGATCTCTGGATCCTACCTTAGAGCTTTGCCACTAGATGGCTACAACATGACTATATCTTCATGTTATACCCTGCGTCTTCGAAATGGGTGATATACCCAAAGCGTAGAGTTGTCCCAGTTGTCATCAGACCGAGAGCGGCTGATGAGACCTGGTGGGTCGAAACAGTACTGTCTCGCTCCTGCTGACAATTGGGGCAACTCTGTTCATCCTGGATCTCTTAGTTATGAGATCTAGCAGTTGAATAGGTCGGTGGAAAAATCCACTCAAGTATGTCAAGTAGTGCCATCTGTCAGCAGAGTGGTTTACTTGTAGTACCACTCTGTAGCGTATAGAATTAAGGGTCAGTACGTGTGACTATAGATGCCCGCGTCATACAGTGTCTCTAAAACGATCAACTCCAGCGTTTTTGAAGAAGTTTGCCTTTTTTACTTGGAAAAGTTGTGGGAATAAGGTTTTTCCATAAAGTACCAAAAATTCACTGTAAAAATGTTAGGTGAATTTGAAATAAATAATTACATCCAACGCAGCGCTCTCTAGATGTTACATGGAAATTAATACGAAATTATGATTCCTAACGTCAAAAACGCCCCGGGTGCCAAATTTTGTGCGAATAACTTATTTTTTGGAAAAGTTTTCAAAAAGCGACAAAAAAGTTCAATTTCAACACCCTGTATCTCCGAAACGAAGCATTTCTGGACACAAGTTCATAAAGACTTTTTTCTTGAAATATTCTCAGGAAACCATCACTTGAATATTTAAACGTACTTATGCTACACCCTGTGTTAGTGGATTTGAATGAATTATTACTTCGTTCAAAATGAAAACTTAGTAGCGAGGCATAATATTGACTGTTCTCTGACCCAAAATATTCTTCTACATACATCCTCATTTCAGATGCGAAGTTATCCATTTTGTTTCAATAGTTTTAATCATCCTTCTGGTATATTTTTCTCCAATGTTAAGTACATTTATATCGATTTCCACAAATGTTCATAAATGAAAAACAACTACAATATTGAATTACATCCTACCGAAATCTATGCAATGATTCGTATAAACCAATAAAATCGCAAGTTATTCCTTTCTAAATGCTGAATTGTGCATAAATTGTTCAGGAACCCTTAACTACCTACAGACCGGTTTCGAACTTTTTTTGCTCTCATCAGTGCAGGATTATACCCAGTAAGCAATTTTTCGAAGTTATCGCATGTTGCCTCAAATTCACGTAGTTGTTGAGAAAGGACTGTTAAATAATTCGCATACCTCCACCTCTTGTACAAGTGCAAAATGGAGCACCAAAATTAAAGAAACCAATAACTAACTTGAAATAAGACAATCCAAATCAGAATTTTAATTTGCCTGAGGTGACGTTTTGAAACCTCCGACCTAAAATCGTCCATTTTTACAAATATTCTGTTGAAACAAATCAGCTCTCGATGTTTTCAGTAGACTAGCGCCATTGATAGACTGACACATTTTGGGTCAATCAACAAAGTACTACTAGTACTGGTGGAGGACGTTTGCACGTCAGCAACTAGTCCCTAATGGGATCTTTTTGCAAGCCCCAAGGTGTTTAAAATAAGTGATGTGGTTCGCATAAGAGAGCTGGCTAACATCCATTTTAGGCACCGTCCATCAGCTCTCTTTCAGAGTGTTTCGGCTGTGTTTTGTAGGCTAGTAATGTACTCATTACCGTATGCTGCAGTGGCAGGCCTGCCAGCTACCTCGTTTACCCCCGTTAGAGACCGAGCTCCACTAAGCAGCATTGGCCCGCTCTAACTCTCAGCTGATAGTTCTCCACACCCACCTACATACACCGTCCTACTTCATCTCTGATGCTCACAACCACCTCATCATTCTTTCTGCGTGTTCTGTGTAGGCTTTGTTACTAACTCCATGCGCCACTTTACGAGCAGCACTGTTAATTGGAACGCAACAGCGAATCATGCAACAGGGCACTATCTAGGTTTTCATTTAGAACAGCAACATTCTAATACACATTTCATGTGTATAATTCAGTGTGTGTATACAGTTTGTCCAAGATAAGGATGTTTATCATGGGGTAAAGGTGATGTAGGTTTCTCCGAAACGAAACGACGTACGGAAAATCTCTCACCGCTGTTTTGTTTGTAGAGTACAAGAAGTATGATAGAGTGTCCTCTTTAAATAACGCTAGGAAAAAAATGAAAACGATCCCCATGATAGACATTCTTATCTTGGACACAGTGTATTCTGTAAACTTCGACTACACAAACAAGTGAGCTGCTTGAGCGTACATTCCTTACCTTTTGCCGTTTATATTTCTATTTACAGTTATGAGCGTAGTTGTCTGTAGTTTGTGGGCTGCAGAACCTTCCATACAGACAGTGACATTGTACCCCAAATTTTTACTGATCACATTGTCCACAACAATCGGGTCTATTTCGTTTTTTTCGATATTCAACAAATCGTACGGCGATACGAAATACGTCAATTTCATGGGATGACCGCCTTTCCTTTTCTCCAGGATACCGACTGGAGATTTGTGGATGAGATTGAACGGTTCAATCATGAACATCTGCAGAAAAATAACAATTATTTATCAGGTATTAACTTTTCAGATTATATAGCAAGCATTTTCCCGGTTGTTTCTTTTTATGTGGCCGGCGTACCTCAGTGCTTCGATGCTTCAATATCGATTCACGTCGAGGTATCGATCGTGGGTTCGAGTCCCACGAACGCAGACTTTTTCTGATGGCCTAAGAAAGTGTTTGGGATCACACGTTAAAAGGTAAGGCCCCCGTCATTCCTTGCTCGCACAAGACTTTCGAAGACTTCTGAGGGTTGCTCGTAAGGGGGCAACCGAATGACGGATAGAACAATTTTATGTTCGGGTTCCCACGAAAAGGGATATCCTGTGATGTCCAGAGAACATCGTGAGAACCAAGGGAAATAAGGTAGGAATTGGTGTTCTTCTTGAATTTATGGAGGTTATCTGCCTCGGGGAACACCTCCACAGCCTCGCTGTTCGTTGGATGAACGAGTCTTTGGAAAGAGATGTGCTGCAGGTCTCCAAAGTGACCACAAAGGGGTGCGTAGCTTCAACTCGACGGGTTAATCTGGCGGGGACTGCCAACGGAGGAACAATTGTTGATATTCAAGAAGAGCATCGTCCATGAAAATATCTATGAAATAGAGCCAGATCGCCAACTTTTCTACGGTGTTCCAGATAAGTGAGTTAGTTTGTGAGCGAGGCATCACCCACGAGACGAATTACCTTTTTTTTTTTTACAGAATCCAACAGTTTTAGGGTATGTTTGGGTGATGCACTTCAAATATGGGAACAGTATTCCAGGACAGGTCAGATCTGTGCCTTATAGATCATAAGCAGCTGACTGGAAGTGAAATAGCTCCTGGCCCGAAACTGAAAACCAAGTTTTTGGGATGCACTTTTAGCAATTGATCTCATTGAAGTATTTTTGTGAGTATACAAAGTATCCAATGATGAGAAAGGAGGACAATACGTATCCAAGGCAGGCAGAAGAAGAAGGTGACATTTCGAACTTTTTTGTGAAATAACTCGATAAATAGTGGTTATTTTCATCATAGAATTCGTGTTTTTCAGATGAAAATACGTAGGTACCGTAAAACGGGGTTACTTTGCATCTCCAGGTAAAATTTCATTTCTCAACTGTTAATACTAAATTGGTGTGACTTCGCCTAACGGATCTCCAGGATCCTTTGTTAGTCTGGTATCAATCGATTCCAGATAGCTCAATAAGCTAGAGCAATAGGTGCCGGAAACTAGAGTTCCTAAATGTACTTGACACTGCTGATTTTGTCGTTTTTTGTATATTATTAGAGAACGGACACTACGACAAGCACTGACAATCAGACATAACCACAAATAAATTGATGAAAAAAGCGGGAACTGACAGTGCACGGACGTACATGACATACATTTCAAAGGTTCGACAAATTGAGAGAATTAGGAGAAAGATGCAAGTTTGTGCAGTTTCCAACTGTGAGAACACGGGAAATTAATTCACTCTATTCGAATTTCCATCGGATAACGTAATTCTACAAAAATGGAAACAGAATATGATGCATCCGGCATGGAATATAGGTTCAGACCACAAAATTTGCGAGGTATTTAAATTTATTGGTAGGAAGTTGAAGAATAGGATCGTATTGAGAGAAAGAGCCGAACCCACAATTCATAAACTGAGCGAGTATCGAAAATAACCTTATTCCCATTTAGACTTATTGCTTGTGATGGAATGATGGAGCAGAGATCACAATAGTCACCATGGAGATCATGGTCGATAATCTGATGATGAAATAGCAGCAACTTCCTGAATTGACTGACTCAAGCAGATTTCACATCCCTGTTCAACTAAGAATTCTTTAGATCATCTTCGTATACGAACTCTTATAATAATTTTGTGAAAACATATAGTCACTTTGTGGAACACACTGATGTACCACATATTGATGTATCTATATCAAATAGTTGAATACGTTGTTCGTGTATCACTTCTACAAAGTTGAAATCCAAATTCTGAATGTAAATGTTCATGCGTAGTTGAGAAGTGCTAGACGACTACATAGCTCCTAGTGGATTTTGAACCACTTCTTGGGTACCAAGATACGTGCAAGATATTATCAGAGCACAGAACAAGAACGCTTAACAAGTGCACCATTTATGATAGGTATTGAAAATGATCTTCCGATGGCCGGGTTCAACCAACAATCCCCTTTAGCAATGTGAACGCGATCTATAGTGAGTCGAGCGCTGAAGTCCATTTATACCAACTTCCATATGTCTTGGAGAACCTTTATTATTTATCCTAACCAAAATCAGCTGTTATTGTTGCCATATCATTTATTTTTTTATTAATTACTTATTACCTACCACTCTTGTACAAGTGAAATTGTTCCACACGAAATAAAAGTATGTTTCTCGGAATTTATCAGTTTTACCCCATTATGAACTTTTTTGATAAACAAATATTCAACTGAACGTATATATATACCTACATATATAAGAGACTTATTTCATAGGAATAGTATACAGGGTGTTCCGGTGATCATGTTACAAACTTCTAGGGTAGATAAAACACACGAAAATAAGAAAAAAAGTTCATGTGAACATGGGTCCGGAAACGCTTCTTCAGGGAGCTAGAGCCTTTCGAAGATGACCTTCAAAAACTACTTTTCGTTTTATAGCTTCGGTACTACAGCAGCTATCGCAACCAGTTTTGGGACATGAAATCTAGTTCGTAGGTTCATCAATTTTCGTGTGTTTTATCTACCCTAGAAGCTTGTAACATGATCACCGGAACACCCTGTATGTATTTCATTGATATATATTATGTTCCTACTAACTTGATATCGACCTCCATTGAGGTCCTTCAGCCTTATCATTCAAAATTTCGAGAAGAAATAATTTTCTAATCAATTTATCGTACCCTTTTACCCACTCGGAGAGACGCTTTGCACTCTCATACAAAAATCAGTCAGAGAAAGATATTATATGGATGTACTCTTCCCAGGACTTGTGGAGGAACGAAAATGCGAGGATCCTTTATCCAAGGGAAAAACATATTCTTGTCCTTGTCTGGCAAAACATTTGATTCGCTTCATAATCGTTTGTGGTTATGTTTGATTGTCACTGCTTGTCTAGTGTCCGTACTCTAATATATAGAAAACGTCAAAACAGTAGCATTTACGAACTCTACCGAAAAAGACCTGCTTATTTGGTGGGAGTTTTTGTGTACGTGCGACAGTTGGTTTCGTAAGTATCTATCTGGAATGATTCATTTCAATATCTTCGTAGTAGTGACCTCAACATGCTTATTATCGACATTCTTACAGGTTTTAAAAACATTATATTGATACCTTGACGAATTTCTGGGGGTTCGCAAAGTTCCACAATATATTTTTTTTCAATTTTGAAGTTACTTTGCCATGATTTGGAGGTCCGTAACCTGTCTAGAAAGTAAAAAAGTACTAAGGAGTCGTTACTATGTGAATACACTCCTGAAACATTAAAACAGACTGTTAATGGCATAAAAAAGGCATTTATATATGTAACAGACATGTAACATCAACGTCATACTGGTAAATATAGTGCATCAACTGAGCTGAGTGAATGGATGAGATGGAGCTTGTGGACGTCATGTTTGCCTGTGTGCTGAATATGGGTGCTACTTCATTCCTTCAAGTTCCACTGATTTTTTTAAATATTTTGTTTTATTTTCAATTCGAGAACTCGTTTTTGTAAATTATTGAATCATTTATGAGTTTTGTTGAGGATGGAGACTAGATATGAGGTTCATCACATGTAAAATGAATTAAAACTCATTTTTATCAAAATTTTGTGTTTATTTCTTTCTGGTTTTGAAGCCCCTGAAGAATCAACTTTGCCAAAAGTGAATTTTTATGCATACTTTACATCACATGACAAAGTAACCCCAAGTTGTGAAAATACTATGCCAATTTCAATTTTGATTAAATCTATTGGACGCATAAAGGAAGAGCCAAAATTGAACATACTTCTTGAGTGAATACATATCATACCATTCAATAATTATTCGCGAAGAATCCGATATTTCTGGCAAAGTAGCCACGTTGTACGGTAACAAGACAATTAGGGAAATAATCATTGCATGACAAGTCCAAAATCACCAATTGATGTAAATCAAATATTTTTCCAAACCTGTAATTGTGCCAAGGTGCTAAGATCAGCTTTTAGCGATTCCAAAGAGGTGAACGCCTTACACTTCACCTTTTTCTCAGCATTCAGTTGGTACACCGATGTGAAACCCTCCAATTGGGCAGTGAAATCCGCGAGATCTCCCCGGGACAACTCTTTATCGAGATATTGCACAAAAGTCCGAAATTTCAGCCTATCTTGGAAACGCATTTACAGCTACTTGCCCTTCACATTCTTTCATTCAACAACACATTTTATATATGAAAATCAACATGAAATATGATTTTTCCTCAAATTTAATGAATAATCATACCAGCTGACTGCCATTTAATTTTTCAATTATCAAAGACATACGCTACAAATACAAGATGTCAAATGTCGACAAAATGTGCCAGAACACTAACTCAACACCAATTGCTTGTTAATAACAATAGACCCGCCATCATTTTGAATAATATTCTTCATCAACCTTTTTTTCCACTATCAAATGAAAATGAATCATCAGAATAAATTACAGTTATCTTATTTACTTACAGTCGGTGAAAGTAAATTCATGCACCTTTGACAAGCAGCGTATATATTTGATAATTGAACGGCCCCATCAGCTGGTGTGATTGCTTACTAAATATGGGAAATTCACAAAAAATCATATATCTAAATGATTTTCTTATATAGAATGTGTCATTGAAGTATTTTGTGAGTATGCAAAGTATGCAATGATGAAAAAGGAAATTTCGAACTTTTTTGTGAAATAAGTCGATGAATAGTGGTTATTTTCATTATATAATTCGTGTTTCTCAGACGAAAATACGTAGGTAACAAGACATTTCGGAAAAAAATCATTGCATGGCAAGTCCAAAATTACCAATGGGGAAGTTTCCTAACAGCAACAGCGCCTAATACTTCAAGTCCGTCCACACCACTCAAAATACTGACAAGCACAACGAGAGGAAGGAGCCATGGGGGTCGGCTTCATTCTGTTCTGACCGATGACAGTAAATTAGGAAGGATAGTATCATTGCATGTAACCGAAAGTGATTCATTGAATCAATGATATTTTCCTATAGGATCAAGCTCTATTCGAGATATTTCAATGCATAAATAACAAAACCATAACCTGTCAGAATGAAGCCAACTACCCTTTGCATTCCTGCTCCGAGTGCATTTGTGGTTATGTATGATTTTATTCACCAGTTTTACTTCTTCTTCTATTTTTTTCATTCGTTAGCTATGCGTTAGTTGTCAGCTAGCTATATTCTTCACCATCAGCTATTTTCAGACTAGATTCAGAATGTACGTCACAGTTTGCCACCCCAGGAACTAGAAATTGCTTTAAATTGAAAACGACTTGTACTTTATCGGTCGCCATTCTGTACAGCGTGGACATAAATCTGGAGAGTCCCGAACTTATTTTATGAAAATGCATCTGAAAGAAACTTCCCCATTGATGTAAATCAAATATTTTTCCAAACCTGTAATTGTGCCAAGGTGCTAAGATCAGCTTCCAGCGATTCCAAAGCGGTGAACGCTTTACACTTCACCTTTTTCTCAGCATTCAGTTGGTACACCGATGTGAAACCTTCCAATTGGGCAGTGAAATCCGCGAAATCCCCCCGGGACAAGCAGTTCACCAATTCGATGCAGCTTTGCTGCTCCTTTTTCCCTTCGTGGTGGATTTTCACGTCTTTGGCAGCTCCGCTGGGATCCAATACCACTTCCAAATAGAACATGTCGGAGGAGATGAAGACACCGGACGGTTCTACTACGAATTTCAGCCTAGAATGATGCTTTAGCTACAACTAGTGCGACCTACCTCAGAGCTCTTAACTAAAGTCGCATATAAACCGGCTGTCAGATGACAGACGGGTAGTTTGGCGCTCGCTACAGTCGAAGTGGGGGTGTTCGATAAGATGAAAAATCGTTAAAAAAAGAGTTCTCAATTAAGTGGGTGTCAGATAAATTTACCCCTGGCAAATACCCTACGATACCATCAATTCACCAAATTTACCAAATTGAGTTGATGACAATAAAAAGAATCAACTCGGTATAACTATAACAACTTCAGTTTCATTATCAGCAAAGGAAATAAATTATACAAAATCTTACAAATTTTAGTCTCAACTCTCAAGAAATACAGCAGATTGTGTTCAGCATAATATACAGGGTGATTCAGGTTTTGAGGCTCGAACTGGAATGAGAGATAGATCTCATCATTTTAATCAAAAAAGTTTATATAAACATTAGTCCGATCTCCTTCAGTAGCAGAGCTACAGTTTAATTTTTTTTTTCTATCAATTGAAATATCTCGCTTACTTTTCAAGATATTATTTCGAAATTTGGTGTGGTCGATACTTCCTAGAAGATCATCATTTCAAGCCATTTGAAGATTTTCAAAATCCACAGGGTGATACGGTTTTGGGGGTAGAGGCTTCTTTATCCCCCCAAACTTTTTCGCAGTACGCCTCTGGCATTTTTCAGTGATCAAATTGTGTGGATCGTTCAATTTAGAGGCTTTTTTGCTTCTCAATTTTTCTCGAGAAACGAACCGTTTTTGAGATAAATAAGCATATACGTTCTAGAACATGTTGATTTTGCCTATGTTTCGCTTAAATTTCATTCTTCAAAATTCGTTGAAAATGCAATGAAATGCACTCACTAAAATTGCAATCACGAGTCCAATCTGGATTAGTAACGGGGATGTGGAGGGTAGAAAGTAAAGTTTTTTTTTCGTTAAATAAAATTTAAGCGAAACATAGGCAAAATCAACATGATTTAGAACGTATAATGCTAATTTATCTCAAAAACGGTTCGTTTCTCGAAAAAAATTGAAGAGCAAATAAAGCCTCTGAAATGAACGATCCACACAATCGGATCACTAATAGATGCCAGAGGCGTACTACGAGAAAGTTTTGGGGGGATAAAGAAGCCTCTACCCCCAAAAACGAATCAGCCTGTAAATTTTGAAAATCCTTAAGGCTTGAAATGATGATGTTCTAGGAAGTATTGACCACACCAAATTTCAAAATGATATCCTAAGAAACAAGCAAGATATTTCAATTAATAGAAAAAAATAATTAAACTTTGACCCCCTGTAGCTCCGCTGCTAAACGAGATCCGACTGAGGTTTATATAACCTTTTTTGACTAATTTTGTGCCTCAAAACCTGAATCACCCTGTATAGTTGGATAAATTTTACATAATTGGTATAAGAGGATTACCATATAAGTGGTTGGAATCATACTCAACAGACAGAAACCAAATTGTGAAAAGCAATCCCCATAATGATAGAAATACAAAATGAAAAACATATGTCATCATCTTTGAATAACAATATTGGAATTCCTCAAGGATCAGTGTTGGGACCAGTACTTTTCATTATTTACATCTACGAGTAGCCAGATCTTCTCAAGGAGACGTTTGTCACACTATATGCAGATTACTCAACCTTTCTATTCAATGATAAAACAGATGAAGGTCTCAAACATGAAATTGACTGGTTTAGTGGAAATTCTTCATATTTTAATGCTTTTCAAACAAGTCAGCTTCCATACACAATAGAATACTAAACAAACTAATATTAAAGCTTCAATTCGAGAAGAATAAATAGAAAAAAAGACAGAACGATATTTCTGGGTATCAACTTTGATAGTACTCTAGAATTTAAATCTCACTGTACTGACCTGACAAGCTTATTGAATAAAAAATACTATCAAATCAGAACTTTGAAAATAGCGTTGAACACAGAGAACCTTTTTTCATTTTATTTTGGAGAAGTGCAGTCTAGACTCACAACGAATTATAAATTTCATATCCCATTCGCTCTTTTGAACCTAACAAAGAGGGCTAGCGACATTTTAGGGCTTAGGTTGTATAATGTTTTACCAGAGGATCTCAGGAAGTCAGGAAATGAAAAACTGTTCAAGGGACAACTGAAAATGTTTATTTTAGAAAAGTGCCCATGTTGGATGCAAAGCAAAATTATCATAGAGAAAGAGGAATTGATTGCAAAACTACGTAATGAAATTGAAAATGTGAGAACGAAACTGAGGAAATCAAGTAAATTGCAACGTGATATACACTGTGTCCAAGATAAGGATTTCTATCATGGGAATCGGTTTTTTTTTCTGACGTTGATTAAAAAGATAAAGGAAAACAGATGACACTTTCTCATTATCATTTTTTAAGCTCTACAAAATAGCGTTGATAGAAATCCTTATCTTGGACTCACTGTATATATTTGAATTGCGTTTTCAATACCAACCGAACTATTTGTCTATTTTGTCATATTATAATGTTGTTAAATGCATTCTTCTCATTTTCATAACTATTGTTCTGCGAGGAGTGTCATATCTCTATGAATTGAAATAGGTGTTAATACCCTATTTCTATTTAACATCTACGGCTATGATTGATTTCACAGAAAATGTAACCTCTAAAATCGTATCTGACAATCAGGCGCTATTAGGGAAATTGAAAAGACAGAGAACAGAATATATGTCTTATTCTTTTATTCACTCAAGCATTGTAATTTAGAAAATAGAGAAGGACAGAAGTTCAGCTGTGTCCGAACTACGGTGGAAATAAACCGTAACCTCGACCGTAACACTAGGCGCTTGGAATCTAGGAAATCTGATTTTGATTGCCATATATATGCGCCATATATAGAAATAGTAGATATATGCATCTCACTCATATCTCACTATAGGCGTTCTTCAGAAAAACCTGTTCATTGAAACAATTTTGCGAAAATCGCAATTATTGACCACATTTTGAGTAAGCTAGTGACCTCTATTCCGTTTTTCATTCATGTTATCCTAACCCAAGAAAAATTTCATATTCCTGTCAAGATCCACTTTTCTGACAAGTTTATAATAAAAAATGTCTCAGGTTTAAACATTTCAATTATTAACATAAACAGGAATGCATAATGAAGATGCAAGCTGATAATAAAAAGGTAGGAACTGCTTATTCACTTCTATAATTTTAGTAAAAACTAACTAGATACATAAGTAATCTTTATTCTCGGAATATCAACTCATTATTACGAAATGAATAATACCAATGTGGCTCAAGAAGAAACTCTTACCTAATGATGTTGGAAGTTATTGCATGCGTAAGGGGTGAGTAATGAGGCACACACAACCAATACAACACCACTTTTATTGACACCGACACCTCACAACCTCGTCACTCGACTGACTCTAATTGACTGACTAATTTCTAATATCTTATCTTCAACCGGTCTGCATTCCGTGATTCATCAAACTCGTAATCACTAACCACCGTCCGTTTATGTTATATACTGTGTGTACAACACACTTTTATTGACACCGACACCTCACAACCTCGTCACTCGACTGACTATAATTGACTGACTAATTTCTAATATCTTATTTTCAACCGGTCCGCATTCAGTGATTCATCAAACTCGTAATCACCAACTACCGTCCGCTTATGTTATATACTGTGTGTACAACACATGTTGCCTCAAATTCTTGTCATTGTTGAGAAAGTAGTGTTAAGGATTTCACCGGATTTCACATACCTCTACCTCTTGTAGAAATGAAAAATGAAACACCAAAATCAAACAAACAAAAATCCAACACCAACAACTAACTTGATATAAGATAATCAAATCAAAATTGTCTGAGGTGACGTTTCGAAAACTTCAACATGAAATTGTCTATTTTGACCTATACTCTATCGAAACAAATGAGCTCTCCCGATGTTTTCAGTAAACTAGTGCCATTGATAGGCAGACAAATTATGGGTCAAAGAACAGAACATATTTGTTTCCTTTATTGATCCCAAACAAACTGGTACAGTCGTCTTCAGAGAACATGTCGCACACGGACGGTGTCAACTCTCTTAATCACCGCTGCAATAAGAGCGCTCATACCGTCCAACCGCGACATGTTCACTGAAGACGAGTGTACAAGCTGAAGGGACACTCTGCAGTTGTTTACTAACTCATATATTGTCATTACATACATAACATACAAATTTTATATAATTTGATTTGTCACACCTAAAAATTAACATCACAAAAAAATATATCAAGCATGAGCAGTTCCGCTACCGTTGAGAGGGAAAAAATGTCTTCCCCTTCTGTCCTTGTCTTCAGTGTTTCAACATGAAATAATGAGAATTTCATGTTGTCAACACTGGAAATGAGAAGAAATGGAGAAGAAGATCATTCTAACGTGCCTTCTTCTTCCTTGTTTCTTTGACGTCGGCCTTTTTTTGCTACTGAGGCTAATCACAAGATACATCGAAGAAGAATCATGAATAAAACGTGGAGTTTTTTTTCGGCGCACGTATCCACGTTTCCACTTGGTTTCCACCAAGTGAAAGAAGTCAAATTTTCGAAAAACGGTGAAGAGAAAATTCATCAAAGCCAAATTCACTCCCAACGATTAGAAGAAACAAGAAGGTGCTTTAACCTATACCTAACCTGTAAATAGCAAACTAATGACACAAGCACCTGGGGGCCCTAGCGGCCCCCAGAAAAAAAACCCGGACCTCAATGATTTTCAAAGTAGCACTTATCGCAGCCTTGTTGATAAATATGATGTTCACGATGCCCCACCATACACTATCATAGTAGAAAGTAAGAACAACAACTTAGGAACATCTACCCAACAGCAGTAGGTAGAATCCTTAAGAGAAATTCTGTCATAGGTATTCGCAGGATTACTGGAAAAGGTAGGAATAGACTAGGAGTAGATTTCACAACCCCCCAAAATGCAAATAATTTCCTAGCAAATTCAGTTTTAAACAATAATAATTGGAGATCATTTATTCCTTTATCGCTGGCAACAGCAAAGGGTATTGCTAGAGGCATAGATACAGGAACAACAATGGAAGAAGTTATTAATGAAGGAGTAGCATCAAGACCAATCATTGCAGCAAGAAGAATGAGTAAGAGAGTTGTCAAAGAAGATAAAACCATTGAATATGCACCCACAGAAACAGTGGTAATAACATTTAAAGGTAAGAGCGAGGGTAAGAGGTTACCAGAATCAATATTAATAAACTATTACGAAACCAGAGTACAAATTTACGTAGACCCAGTGCTACAATGCTTCCATTGCCTAAGATTTGGACACACAACAGAACATTGAAGAAGCAAGAAGAGATGCACCAGATGTGCAGCGGAACATGAAGAAGTAGATTGTGATGCTGATGAGAGCGATTTTACTAAATATACTGCACGCTAGCACAAACCACGCCCACCATCATACGTCATATCTCCAAACATTACCGATATACTCGGAGTCAGCACATCGCACTAAATATACTGTGCTCCAACGCAAGAATACGCTTTTTATGATTTTGACACGAATTCGACTGAAGCTCTCTCGTTGTCAATCTCTTGTACGCAGTAAATTCATACACCCAAATGGTCTACTGGTTCGCGCTGTCGACTTTCAGTCTAAAGGTCCATGGTTCGAATCGCTGTGAACTTGAACTTTTTTTTGCAACTTTTTTTTTTCACCAATGTTTTCTTACTTCATTCTGGTTTTCTTTTTTCATAAAATATTTGAAGTCAAATAGGTTAGTGCGTTTAGGGTAAACAGTCTCATTTCATTCTATTTTGTTGAAGAACTCAACTTATGAAATATATTATTAATCAATGTGTTTCTACACTCCATTCGGTTTTCCTTCCTCAAAAATATTGCAATCAGGGATAGGTTAGTTCGTTGAGGATAAATAGTCTCTGAGTTTTGCATAAGTAAAGTACTTTGAAGATGAGATATAACGGTGGGCGTGGTATGTGCTAGCGTACAGTATATTTAGTAAAATCGCCACCAGGACCTTGTTCTCCTGTGAGAGAGGTGAGGTCCTGGATAACAAGGGATACATCTTCTTGATTGCGTTTTTTAATCAAATAGTTGGCGTTTTTCCTGAGACTCATACGAGTGTCCAGTTTGAATCTCAGGTATTTCACGGTGGTCGTGTCTGCCACCTCAACCTCTTTGACGGTCCGAGGTCTGCTCAGTCTGGAGTTGTTGACTTTTTTATGGAAGTTGATGACTTCTGTCTTCGCACTATTGATGCAGATCTTTGACTCGTCAAAGTACGGTATGATTCCGCTGTCCAGATGAATCTGGATCTGTGCCCTGGCGATATTCGAGTCGTCCGAGAACATATATAGCCGGAATGGCTAGTGCCTTACCTGAGAAACTATGGCGATGCCCAATAGGTCGCGTGCACGGTGACCGACCCTGGAGGTCAAATATTGAAACACAACCTCACTCTTCTGTGAAACATTGAAACGCAACCTCACTTTTTTATTTGTTTACAGAGGAATCAAACGATTGATATAGTTTTTCACAATATTTTGGTAAACGAATCGTGTTTTTTTGCGCTATTTATTAATTCAAGCATGCCTTCTAATTGTGCTGTTGTACAATGCACAAAAAATACAGCGAGGGACGAAGGAATATGATTTTTCAGGTAAATATAATCTCACATAGTTTTCATTATGAAATTTTGTCATTTCTTATTAAAATTCCTTCTGTTACTTCTGCAATAGAAGCTAATACTGCTAGAAGATTGAAAATGTCTACAACGCACACGATCATATTTCGTCAGCATGTAAGACAGTTCTACCATTTGATTGCATGAATCCAGTCTTCTTGCATTATTTTAGAAATTTCACGAGTATTTCTATTAGTAATCTATGGTAAAAGTCCATGGTATCTCAAAGTGGAGTGAATAGATTCATAAACAAGACACGCAAAAGAGATGGAGATGTCTTTGTGTGTCTTGTTTATGAATGTATTTCTATTAGTTCTTATTGCAGATTGCTGAAGGAATTCCGACGAGAAATCAGAGAAATTACTAAATTTCAAAAATGAAAACTATAATGTGAGTGACTGTAGTAGGTAATTACTACTACTCAAATCATAATGTATCAACCGGATTCCTTCGTCTCCCGCTGCATTTTTTATGCATTGTACAACAGCACAATGTGATGACATGCGCGAATTAATGAATAGCCGAAAAACACGATTCATATGCCAAAACAATTGTGAAAAACTATTTCAATCACTTGTAAACTAATAAGAAAAGTGAGGTTGTCTTTCAATGTTTCACCTCCAGGGTCGGTCATCTGACAGTTCTTGCACGCAACCCATTCTAACGTTTTTTTTTATATTGAGGTTAATATGATCTTCTTCTTCATTTTTTCCCATTTCCAATATTACCAACATAAAATTTCCATTGTTTTACGTTCGAATACTGAAGACCAGGACAGATGGAAAAGACATTTTTTTCTCTCTCAAAGCTAGCAGAACTGCTCTGTTATACCTAATACCGATCGCTTACTAACTAGGTTTACACAAGGTTGGTAGAATTAATTATTATTTGTAGAGGCAGGTTGCCTCGTTCAGCAAAATGTAGTAAAGGGAAGTGGTAATTCGTGACGTAATCCCATCGAAAATTCCATTTTGAAGTCTTGGGAATTTATATTCTACAACTGTATTCAGTTGTGATCCAGACTTACCTATATACAGCGTGTCTCACTTTAAACGCCCCCCCCCCCCTCTATATCTCAGTTATTAGTCATGGGAATCCAACCAAATTTGGTGTGGTATGAATAACCATCAATATGATCAGTCTTACAGAGATGCACATTATTTTGGACAGTGACGTGCGTTTTTATTGAACTTAAAAGGGGTCGATTTTTTATAAAATCATATTAGGCAGAAATCTAACCTCATATTATTGTTCCTCATGCTTTCGAACCCCCATATGCAAAAAATCACCTAATTCCGAATTAACAGGATTGGCTTCATTTTTTTCATTTTTAGTCTCGAATAAATAGTGACTTCTAATCAACCACGAATTTTGGAACGTTCAATGGCTCCGGTAGATGGAAAATCATGATTTGGAAGAAAAAACGGGTTATACTTTTTTATGTTGAACTCACCGTTACCAAGTAAATAATTATCACGTTCGCAAAAATGCTGTTTACATATGCCTGTTTTTCTGAAACCCCTCATAGGCATCTCATGAAAATCCACGTATGTGGGTTTGAAACCATGAAGAACAATATTATTAGGTCAGTTTTCCTATGAAAAAATGCCTAATATGATTTAATAAAAAACTGACCCCTATTCATTCCAATAAAAATGCACGGCACTGTCTAAAATTATGTTTCTCTTTGAAGAACTGGTCATATTGATGATAATTCATACCGATACAAATTTGGTGAAGATCGCACGACTGATAGCTGAAATATAGAGGGGGGGCCGTTTGAAATGAAACACGCTGTATTTCTAGTGTGCCCACTTTTCAATTGTTTCGTCAGACTAACTCTCGATATGAACAATTGAATGCGAGTTCTGGACGAGGGTTTCTCATATCCGATAATAGATGACGTGAACGATGGACAATTTCTTGGAAAATTTCAAAATGCGTTTCGAATCTTATCATGAAGTTGAACTAGAGTTTCAAAGATGTGTTTTCCTTTTTTCGGAACCAGAAAAGTCCCGTCGTTGATGATGCACGAATTCAATAATAGTTGATAAGAAGTATCTAGAGATAGGACGCAAGAGAGACAGGGCACAACAAATAATCCGTGCGGAAATATCTTGATCCTAATCTTGATCGTAATCTTGATCGGCGTTGATTGTGATTTTCACGTTTTCAGCATATCCATGGTTTTGTTCAAATTTCAAATAGACATATTATAACCCTTATGAAAGATAATTTAAAAGAACATTAGTAGTTTACTAAGCCGGTAGGTATTGATATTATATTAGGTAGTTGAGTGAGTGTATTGTGCTTTCATCATGGAATAACCATGCTGCAATGTATGAGGATTATTTATATACCCGCTGGACCGGGCGATAAAGTGCAACTTTACATACAATACTTTGAGACATCAATTTATGAATTCATATAGGTAAGAAAGATCCACCAGGGATTACTGAAAAAACAGTGAAATGACCAACTATTTAAACGTTCACTGTTTCACTTTGCCCTCAGGCTTTGAGGTGAAACTTTGACAGCTGAACAAGGCGCTTAAGTGCGAATTTATGCCTGGTCGGGCATACAAAATTGACTGGGGATTTAATGAACCTACAAAAACAGCAAGAATTCAATCAGCCCCCACTGTAGACATACCCATACAATATAAGTGCATTTTTATCCAATGTTTATGAAAAAATGCACTATCAGTTGCACCTCAATGAAATGCAAAAAAAAATACATTTTCCCAAAAAAAAAAATTACTAAAAACTCACCCTAGCTGCCTGGTTAGACTTTCTAGTCTCTCTACCATGCTTTGTAAAGAGGTCACTTTTATTGAGTGCTGTAATGTATCCAGACATTTTTGATGTTGGCTTTTTTCAATACTATCTGAAGCATACCGCTTTTCCTGAGGAGAAGTATTAAGTATAGTTTTCAAGCATACATTTTCAAGAATACCCGATAAATCACAAAAAATTTGAATACACACCTACCTATGAGTTCTGAATATGTAATATTGAAGCATTGAAGTTTAGTGGGATTAGTATTACTTAGGCTGGTTTTTCATCAAGGGGATTTTGTGTGGGAATACAATGTTACAATTAGTTTTGGGATTCTAAGAAAATCAGCTGAACATTTAAAATACCAGTAGAAGTTCATTGAAATATTATCTGTTTTTCTTTATCTTGAACTCAAATCCAATTATAGGTAGGTATCTACCAACATAGTACAAAGCATGAATGATGTCATTGATGTCAAGAGTTTGTAGGTCTCAACAAGTAAAATGCTAGACCAGTTCCAGTATATTATGTATTTTCTGAAATTTGATTAAACTTGATGGATGGAACTGGAGCAATGATAATGTTTAAAACAATATGTTGATTGTCTTACCATAAGGCTCATTTTGTGAATTTGAGTCATTATGAAATAGGATGAATTAAAGACATTGGCAAAACCCTTGGGAAAATCAAGAAAGAATTAGTCTTTTTGAACCATGCTACTGCATGCCAAATGATAAGTCATGCAGTAGGTACCAGCTAATGGTTCTAAAAAATTTGCAACCTGAATCTCAACATGTAAATTACTAGGCCAGATCCAGTACATGTATTTTCTGAAATTGGATGCAACTTGATGAATGGAACTTGGGCAATGATAATGTTTGAAACAATATTCAGATTGTCTTACCAGAAGGCTCATTCGAACATTCTTAGATATCTCTGGTATACTTTTGTACTGTGCAGACTTGGATCTAAGTTTTTCCATCAACATTTCCAGTTGCCAGTCTTTAGTTTTCTCTTTCTTTGTGAGAGGCAGTATATCTGGAAAGAATTTCATTGCAACACACAGTCTCCTAAAAACACCAGTTCGAAAACTCGTTTAGAAACTACTTACTTTGACGATTCATTGTTGTTTGTTAATTGTTAATCATGCTACTCAGGGAACTTAGACTTCATTGTATATTCGCTCAGGGCTAGGGAATGTAGAAAATACTCAAAATATTTCACATCACAACCAATAAGAAAAATACTTGGCACTACACACTACACCATACACATGGACATAAAGTTGACCAAAACAAAAATACAACTGCAGAGTGCAGAGAATGTCAGAATATGAATAATGAATGACATTAAATATCATAATATCATCAATCAAAACATTGTGTCAAAACATTGAAATTCCTGTAGAAGCTGTCACTAGCTTGAGAAAAAACACGACAGAGGGTGCTGCAAGGCAAGACTTTCAAGGTTGGTAGAGCTGATTATTATTTTGATCATCAATTCTACCAACCTTGAAGAATTCATACAGAATTCACACGACCATGAGTTTTTCCATAGATGAATTTTTCCACCAACTAGAACGATTCTCATAAACACCTCTATCAGATGATATATGAATTGACTTTGTATTATCATTTCATGGCTATTATTTGTGGTCATAATCATACAGGGTGATACAAGCTGAACGCATCGGGCTATAATTGGCCAAACGGTGGATTTTCTGAGATATAATTTTATTCAGGCGAAATTATGTCGATCTGGACTACATTTCAAACATGGTGTGATGAATACAGAGTGTCTCGAGAGAAGGTGGCATATCAAAGTTGTACTTTTTTAAATGGAACACCCTATATTTCATCGCATTTCTGAATTCTACGATACGATGGAAAATGAACTAACTTTGCTGTAGTTTTCCTATACCCAATTCTCTCAGTTTTCGAGATTTTTCAACTTTTTCAAAAATGTGAGTTACCAAAACCTTGATATCATTGAAGCACACGATGATTCAAAAGTACCAATTTTTAACAGTGTACTTCGAATACTTCGAGCTAATAGATGGGGCATAAGTGGTCGATAAATATCATACGGGGTGTTTTATATTGCCAGGTATTCTCACGGTAACTTCAAACTATAATAACTTGGTTAATTCAAATAGAAAACACATTATTTTTTCGTTCCAAGTAATGCAAAATTCAATTTCCTTCCAAATGTAGTTATTATGGAAATCAATAGTTTATCTCGATTATATATCAAAGAAACTGCAATAGCTCGGAAAGTATGATACTATAGTGTAGGGGAATATATATAGTATAGTTTGAAAGGGACTTGAATTTTTCATTACTTGGAACGAAAAAATACTGGGTGTTCTATTTGAATTAACCAAGTTATTATAGTTTGAAGTTACCGTCAGAGTACCTGGCAACATAAAACACCCCGTATAATATTTATCGACTACTTATGCCCCATCCATTAGCTCGAAGTATTCGAAGTACACTGTTGAAAATTGGTACATTTGAATTATCGCGAGCTTCAATGATATCAAGGTTTTGTTAATACCTTACATTTTTGAAAAAGTTAAAAAATCTCGGAAACTAAGAGAATTAGGTATAAATGTAGTCTAGATCGACATATTTTCGCCTAAATGAAATTATTTCTCAGAAAGTTCATCATTTGGCCATTATAGCCCGATGCGTTCAGCATGACTCACCCTGTATAGCAATAATCGGAAAACTATTCTGGACATTATTTCATTTCGAAAACTGATTGCATATTATTCTAATAATAGAACACGCATGTCTCAGATACCCGTATACGTAGTTTTTTTTAGATATCATGTACAGGGTGTCCAGAATCCGAGGCTCGCATCATTGGGATCTCGGAAAGTAGAAGATATATACGAGATCGTTTGAATGGAGGCAAAGTTGCGCAATTTGGTGCTAAAATACAACGCTTCGAAATATGGAAAAATTCGAATACTTCCAAAGGTTTTTAGGCATAACCAATTATTTGTGATTTCATTTTTAATTGTATGATTTGCATTTGCCTCCATTTAACCAATCTCGTATATATCTCCTACTCTACTTTTCGAGATCCCAGATGACGACGCTCGAATTTGGGTATAGGGTGAGCCAAATTGGACACAGGGAAAATAAAGTCCAACTCAGAAATAAGTAGATAGATAAGAAAACTGATGCCAGGGGGTCAATTTTTTTGACAAAGTCAACTTCGATGGCATAAGCGTATCTTTCCATGATTTATCCATATTTGAGGAATGGAAAAGTTATCTTCAAATATGCAGGACACCATATTATTATAGTCACCGATACTGGGGTTTTATGTCCCTGGATATGGTATTATATAAACATAATAATTCAGCACAAATCTTTGATGAAATTCATTGGTGATACTATGCACTGTACCGTTGATTGATATATTACGCTTACGCTGGGAAGATGCCCAACCTTATGGGGCAAAACGAGGTCCAAAAAAATCTCACAACTAGATGGCGTACCATAGTTCGAAATCTCACATAGTGGCGGCGATAGTGTCGAACGATGTCGGAGCAATACTTCGTAATTTGACGGGCACGGGCAGGTGCGCCACTTACGAAGAGAATCTATTGGAATGCAGATGGCGTGCGACTTGGAACAATTAAACAACCCATAATCCAGAACGCTTGTATCGAATCCACGATCCGTACTAATATGGCGGTAAATTCGAATTTGTTAGTAATAGTTGTACTGGATATGTTCCTAACGAGCGCATCACGGACGTGAGATCATGAAAAAAGTTTATAGAAATCGAATTGGAGTGAATCACAAAATTTAATGTCTCAACAATAAATGCTTCCATTTTTGGCGATTGTGGAATAAACTGGTCAGCGGATATCAATATATAAGCTGCTCATAAATTTGATTGAAATTCACGAACCCGGACCAGTGTTGTCACCTTAGTGTATTTTACCCTAGAACTGAATCTAAATGGGTCTGTTTGAGTGGAATTTCATATTTCATTATGTCGAATTACTAAATCCAACGATTATTCACTGTCGCAAATCATTTTCTTGTCAGAGTTATGTACAATTTTTGAAATTTTTATTATTAATTGAAATTACTGATATTTATCACATGAAAAACGCGGAACATTGCGTGACAATTCTATACCGCTATCAATCCAAAGTATTTTATACTGGTATATGGAGTATATGGAGTGCCAATAATTTACTTTGATTTTTGTGGGGTGGCCGACTCGGTGCGTTTGTCGGCGATAGGGCTGCCAAGCCGTCGTTTGTCGCCCTAACAACACAAGTACATCCTAGGGACTTCCCAGGGACGTCCCTAATTTTATACAAGGACATCCCAGAGATATCCTTTGTCGGGACAGAGTACATACTAGGGACGTCCCAGGGACATCAGCTGGCTGACAAAAAAAGCATCCAAGGGATTTCCGTCTGGTACGTCCCTGGGATGTATACCAAGTACGAAGAAAGGATATCCCTAGGAGGTCCCAAGGCTCGTCCCAAGGATATTCCAGGGACATCCCTTCGACAAAAGAAAAAATTTAGGTCGAGTAGGGCTTGAACCCGGGACCTTTAGCTCATCAGGCGCGCACCTTACTCCATTGGCTGATATGCCTCCTGAAGATTTATGTGTACCAAACAGATTTTTAAACAGGACCAAACTGCAGAAATCTGAATGAATACAACTTAGGTTAGGATTTGGGTATAATTATTATCATTCGTGGATGTTTAAAAATGAGGGGCATTATATGCATTTTCGATTTCTGTTTGCGAAAAATGGTAATTTCTTGAGAAGTTCTGAGACAATTTTCTTTATTTTCATTACAATTATTCACCGGAAAAAACCCAAATATTTTCATAAAAATTCAACTCAATATTTTCATGAAAGTCAATGACTCTGATGTGATTAGATATCAGATATTCCCTAGACACGAATTGGATAACCTATATATGGATGTACGGGGCCGGATGTCCACTGGACAACCACTGCAGGACATCCCCTGGATACCCCAATTATGTCCTTGTACCGTGTGACAAAAAGGGTACGTACCTAGAACATCCCTGTGTTGTTAGGGCGGAGATTCTGAGCGTTTCGTAGTCTGTACTCCGTTGTTCTGGAGCGGCAAAATCGATTCTGCTCAGAAAAAGTTACTGGTATCACAAAATATCAACGACGATTTCATGATTATATATCATGGCATATATAGACTGGAAATGTAGCTGTTTTCTGTTGATTTTGTTTTTATCTCTTCAAATATACCAAAAAAGAATTCATATTTTTCAACAACTAGATACTGTAAAAAATGGTTCATAAGCTTGCAACATATCAACTCTTGTAATCCAATAAATAAATGAATAATTCTATATATATTCCAATAGTTATAACTCACTCTGTATATTATGCCTATTACAGATGTATTTTATTTCATTTTTATAGTGAACCATTAACAATCAAAGATTCAAAGATATCTGACTTTATTTTCTATCTATACTGATGAGACTCTAAGAAATTATCAAATTCAGATTGATTATATTATCAATATTTTGTAATGTCTTATTATTACAAAACTTTAAAATGGATACAAATTGAGTGAAAAAAATAATCAACGGAAAAGGCGTGAGATGTTTCTCCAGATATACAAATTATATTGGTCTAGGGTCGTCTAGGCAAAGTATGACAAGTTATTCACAAGGGAATTTAAAAAAACGCCACGGAGTAGGAACCCAACTTAGTGTGAGATCACAATTTATGTTCTTCTCTCTTCCGCAAGGAACCGAGGAAAAAATCAATACTGTCCATGGGATTCACCGACCGTAGCAAACATTTTTTTATCGGAACCGGTCGGGCGGGTCGGGTCTCATCGTAGAAGACAAGGATAAACAAAAATTTCTGGAGCGATAGCACGCGGTGGGATGGGATCTGTAATTCTGTACAAAAGTGTAGTAATCTGTACAATTAGTTCAGGCATGTTCTGTGTGCCTAGTGGAGTCGCTACCTCACAGTGGTTAAACGATAGACGAGGGGTTGAGCGGGGCATCGACTCGCAAATAACACAGGTTGGGCATCTTCCCAGCGTAAGCGTAATATATCAATCAACGACTGTACTGAGTGATTGTTGATCCGCCCGGTTGTAGTTCTAGTACGCATATCTATATGAGTTTATCACCAGCTTTTCATATTTGTATCTAAAATCATGTAGCGAGCATCGGCGAGATTTAAGCAGAATGTTTGATTGTAGCGGAACAAAAGTAGGCGAATGAAGCTTCACATAGTAACGTATAGATGAACTC